GCAAATTTAGCCACAATATATAAAAACATCTCAATGTGAAATGAAATAGAAAATAATCTGGGTTCAACAGTTTTAATTCAATCAATTGAAAAAAACATACCGGAGTCAGTTCTTGTGGTAAATACATCCCTAGAACAGAACCTGGCACCTTATTTGCCTCTACGGTGAGCCACGGCTAGGATGTGGACAGAGCAGGTGTACAGCAAGAAAGGAAGAGCTGAGAGCCATCACAGCAGTAACTGTGGTAAGTCAAGAATTCCTGGTTCTGCTTTGCTGGAGGTCAGTTTCCACGTGAAATCCAGTGAAGTCTAGTCCATTGCTTTAGAAACTCCAGAAAACCGGAGAAAGATGAAATCTTGGAACTGATGACAAGAGGGAAGTCTTTGAGTCAAACACTCCTCCAACACCTTCTAGGAATGCTGTCAGGAGCATTTTTGAACTTCATAATGAGACTGACAGTACTAGGCTAGCAGGGATCAGGAGAGGAGCAGACCCAGCAGTTTGGAGTAGCAAACTCAACCATTATGGAACATACCTTCAATGGCAAACCAAGGCTTGTAATTTAAATCAGCTTCCTGGGCAAGCTGCATGAGCTGTTCCTTCACATTTCTTCTGGCAGGTTAGAAGTGTGCTGGATGCGCTGCATGTGCTCAGGGCTGCAGTCCACCAATGATCCTGTCTCCTGCAGAGGAGCTGTGGTGTCCTGCTCCTCGCCAGAGCCATGCACAAAGAAACAAGCATTGCAGATCACCAGTTAATAATGTCTGGGTCTGCCAACACCATTATACACCTGAAAACTTCACAGACATTAATTTGTGTGTGCCCAGAGCTTTGACTAGGAGATGAAGCCACGCCAGGAGAACAGCCAGCAGCTTTACAGATTAAAGAGATGAGGAGTTCCTTGTAAGCTTGTACTAAAAGGGATCCTTCTAGGTCAAGTCTTCACCTACCTATGTGCTCCATTTCCCCTTCTTCAGTGCTTTTTCCCAAAAATCTACCAGAAGTTCTTCTCTTACCTCATAAGAGAGGCAGCACTGAGGCAGGGCAAATCATATCCAACATTACAGTTAGCAGGTCAGGTGTCTACAATTACAGACTTGGAAGGCTTTGATTGCTAAAGGCTGCTCTGCACACCACAGTACAGAGTGTTTCTGCTGCCTTTGTTTAATCCCCCATTCACTCTGTTTTGTGTGCTTTGCTTGATATTGAATTTATGGCCATGCTATCTCTTTGTAACACATTCTGGTGTAATTACTGATGCTTGCTAGGTTGACTCTTCAGGATTTCTATTTGCTGTGTTCTCCCAACTCAAGTGTCTCAAAACTCATGTCAGAGTAGCCAGAAGCCTTGCATACAGCGAAGGAAGATGCACTTGGTAACATTATCCTCCTTTGCTGCAGTGGTGAAGGACCAGAAGTACATATCAATAAATTTTTCAGCATCTTTGCATGTTAGGAATAAACTGATTAGCAGCAAAAGTAGTAGCATGTTCTGTACACAATACAAGGAGAAAGGTCTCTTAGCATCTTGGCACTGAGTAATCGATCATAAATTCTTGTAAACCCATCAGATTATTCAAAGTAGTAAGCAGAATATGAAAAACATTAATGGCCTCTGCTTAAGAGGCCATTGCTACTGGATAATTTGATCATGCCTGTCCATTTGGTCATGACTGTCCATTCTCTTATTTCCTCCCAGTTTTTACCCTTCTCCTTGGGTAGCCCCAGTGGTAATCCTATACTTTTGTATAGGAATTTAACTTTTAAGGAAACTTTCTCAATGTCACCAAGTAGCTTGTTCCCACCTATGAAAGATCCTGCTTGCCCATTCTTGTTGCAGAGTATGGAGTCACGATGCTTCCAGGCACGTTGTCGGTACACTCCCAGCAGAAGCTCACCCTCTGCCATGCCACATTCCCTCAGATTCCTGCCATCTGCACTCCTTCATCACTGGATGTGTCCCCCCACTATCCCTGCAGGCTGCTCATATTCCTTTCTCCTGCCTCAGCCACATCCATGTGCTCCTGTTCTCTTCCCTTTGATCACTGCTACACACTTAAGCCAGAGCTTCCCTTGGAAAAGCTCTGCAGCAGATCCTGTGCAAGAACCCCCTCAGCCCAACACAGGCACTTGGAAAATGCAGCTGCCAAACCCCAGGGCACACTGCAGCGACCCTCTCCAACAGAGGAGACACTTCTCAACAGGTTCACTTCTTCCTAACAGGTTCAGTCAACCTGAGATAACGACAACCCCTTCTCTAACATTTGCAGACTGTTCTGGAAGACACAGTGGAAATACTTCAGGTGTTCAAGGCATTTCTCTCTTGGGAAAGAAGGAAATAGACAAAGTTATTTTGTTTGTTTTAATTGATCACTGATTAAATTGTAATACATTTCAAAGCAAAATATTCTGTTCAAGGACATTGTACCAAACATTAAATCTACTTTTAAACAAGGCTTAATTTGACTATTTAACCTTATATACATACAGGTATAAGTTCATTTTACTAGTAGCAAAATTACACAGTACATCACATTTCCTGAAAGATGGCAAAAACAGGAATTGAGTGTCTGTTCTGTCCTTCCACACACTCCAAATCAGAAAAAAAACCACAGGTACTGAAAGTACAATCACAACTACAGGTAAATACAATAAGGACCTCAGAGCAAGCGAAGACCTTATGAGAGATGACAATCACTTCTAGAAATCTACATTGCAAATATACAGTACATTCCACTAGAGTTTTGGGAGTTCCCACAATGCCTCTTAATCCCCTTTTGGTAATAAAAGCTTCTATGACAACAGTATCCTTCATAAAAAGTACTGAAATAGTATTCTTGGAGCATAGGTTGCAAGCTTAATGCAGTCTAGGCTGCAGTCCACAATAAGCTCACCCAAAGAGAGAGTAAGCAAGCACTGCAAGATTCATCAAGTTCAGAACCAGAGCTCAGCTCCTCGTCATTGAGCTTCTGAGTGCAAGAGCTGCTCTGCACCAGGGACAGGCTCAAAGGGTGGGAAACGTTACATTCCTTTTACAGCTTTTGCAGGTCAATCACCTGCAAGTTCTTGACAGAGAATGTCAACTGAGTCGTATAAGATTAATTTGAATTTATTTAAAAAGCAGCCATTACATTGCAATTGTTAGACAATTAAGGACACAGCTAAGGAGCAACAAGGTTTCCACATTTATGCTAGTCCTGAAAACACTTACACTTCTGTGAGCAGCAGTGAGTATGCAAAGACACTGCCACCGCTGGGGAAGCTGCAGTCTGGCCTCAGGAAGTGGAATGGTGCACAGAACACAGCAGACCCAAAGGCCTGATGAGATTTCTGTTATGCTCAAACTCCGCTTTGGTTTGTGCAAAAAAATGACCTTGTGCACGTAGCTTTCACAAACTAACTATTGCTCTGTGCTTGGCAAGACAAAATGGGAGGAATTGTCTAGAATTACCAAGAACATGGAGGTAAACAAGGCATTTTTCTTGAGCACTAGTTACCCTCACAAATACAATACCAAGGACTCTGCCACTGTTCCAAGGAAATGTACTTCATCAGCACTTTTGGAGGTTTTCTGTTCTGTACTTGCTGAAGAAGCTACCACTGATTAGCAAAATAGCTGAACTTGACCCAATCAACAATGCCGAGGACCTTCTCCTCCCAGGCTTTATGTCTAACTAACCACTAGCACTCTTTGCTGCTCCTAAGGAACTCAGACAGCACTAGGAAACACCAAAAAGGCATGCCCGAGGTTGAAGAGACCAACTGATTTCCACTGGTTAAAATACATCGCTTGTTTCCATTAGGCAGACTCCAGCCACACTCTTAACACCAATTATTTTTCACAGATCTCTGCTTTGAATGTTATTTTGCTGGACTCTCCAGATCTAACAGCAATGTAACAAAGTAATTTGTAGTTAAAGAAAGAACTAGTGGAAACCTGCCCAAATATTTTTTAAACCTGCTTTATATAAACTTTGGGGAGAGGGAAAAAATAGGGACTTGGTACTCCCACTTGTCATAGTCAGTCAGCAGTGTTCTAAAAGGGATGGAAAGCAGGTTGCAAACCAGGTTCTGTCTACTAGTCTATACCTGGTTTTAGCAGAGGTAGGTAGCAACAGATCAGTGGAGAGAGAATTAGAAAACAGCATTTCAGATGTACTTTAGAGCCCTGGTGTTTTTCTCTGCTCCTCATTTAATCTGTCTTGTGCTCTTTTCCTTTTTTCTTGCACTAAACAACTCATATTTGGACAGTGAGCCCTGGTAGGCTGCAAACAATTATATGACATTAGTCAGGTGCTGTTGCCAGACAGAGGAACAACCAAGGTGGGCCAGCAGGCACCACGACTTGCTGCCAGAGTCAAGGAGGTGCTTCATAAGAGAACCTCAAGTGCCTCAAGCAAATCCTTGGTGCACATGCATGCAGTGTCAGCCTGCAGGCAACACACGGTGACCTCACCTTCAAGCTTCACAGCCGGCAGAAGCAGAAGATACAAAGTTCAGCTTTCAGGTTGTGGCTTCAACACTTCAAAACTTAACTGTGTACTGAACAGCTAACATGAATGGAAAATAAACATTTTAAGCAAAGAGAATCCAGCCAAGCCTCTGATTTTTTTTTTTTTTTTTTTTGAGGCCTGCTCTAAAAGCTGTGAAATATGTGTGATACCATTTGAGTGCACTTCTACTTCATAACAGCAGACAGACAATTAACTACCAAGTGCAAAGCAAAAGGTTGAAAAGCCCTCATTCCTAGATTGTCTACCATTTTTTTATTACTGTTGTAAGATGAATTCATAAAACTGCTGTACTTTTTTCTTCCAAATGATCATCTCCCATAAAAGCAACATTAAGACTCAGTATACATTGATATGAAATATACTTTAACTTCCCTCTTCCCAGGTTCTTGTACTTAATATATAAGCCTTGCACTAAGAAACAACTTTGGTGGTCCTCATGCTGCTTTGTGTTTCACAGAAAACAAAAATTCCATTTATTATGTTCATATTCACCACTTGAAATTTTTTTAATTTCCAAATTATAGTTTGCTTACAGAACCTTAATGAAATCCCCATTGTTTGCACATTCTTGTATGTAACACAGAGAAATGGCACAGTTACAAAATCAAAACACCCTACCCAAAATAGTTTCATTGTCAAGATTTATCAGTTTACCAAACCAAGCTTCTCCCAGATTCTTAGCAGCAAAATTCAATTATGTAGAAAGGAGAAGGACAGAGAAATCAGCCAGTTCCCCCACTGAGAACCAGAGCTGACTAAGCCATAAAATAAGCTGAGTGGCTCTGTCAACCTGACTGAAGTTTCAGTAATTATGTAATGGCTCCTGGAAGAATCCATAGCCAAACTTCTTGAATTTCCATGATTTTTAAAAGAGAGAGGTAATTTCAAGAGATCTTCAGTTCCAGGTAAAATACTTGCATTCATGTTTTCCCTGCTAACTTAAAATCACATTTAAGTTTCTTCTCTGATGTTTCAAGAAAATTTTGCAATCAAGAGTAGAGAAATTTAAAAAAGCTTAATGTAGACATCATCCAGAAAACACTACCAAATATACAAAGCAGAGGAAGATACTATCCTCCTGATTTCCATGTTTTAATTATTTAAACACATATTTCGAGAAAAGAGCAATCAAAAATGTGTGCCCCAAAATTAAGTTGCCTGTATGCACTGAATGAACATGGGATTTTAAAGCAGTCCTTCCTTATTCTATGCAGCCCCTTTAGAAATGCTTTATCTCTCAACTGTATATAGCACTACAGTCAAATTCATTATATATATCTATGTCTTTTTAAATCTATTACTAGATAGCATTTGCCCCAGAACTGTAAAAAGGTTTCCCACAAACCTATCCTACCAGAAGCCTTTAATTTCCATGGTTGCAGGTCACATACACAAAGAATTAATGAAGTGTCCAAAGAAAAAAAGATTAGCTCTTACTTTAAATCAGACAGCAAGTTACACACATTTATAAAGAAATCTACTGAGATTTAAGAATGCTTCAAAGCAATAGCTGAAATACAACAGCAGCTGTGAATAATAGATCACCTTCTTGATTCATAATTGATCCTAGCTTCACCTTAAAAAAAAAAATCACAGCAGCTGAATATACACAAACAAAACTTTTGATCAGAGGTTAATAAGCAATTGTGTTATAATATCAGAGCTGGAGACTAGACATTGCAAGTGTTCTGCAGTCTCTAACACACCAGCTCTCAGGCTGGTGCAGCAGTGGAAAATCTCATCCAACACACCTTTCAGGTGGGATTAGAATCTCGTATTTCCTGTTCAGAAGTTGTTCAGCTGAACAGTTACCTCTGCCAATAATACAGCTTCCCTCTCAGTTAAGCATGCAAATTGTATAAAAAGGCAAGTGATCAAAATATCCCCTTGAATGCCCAACTGTCCGGTATCAAGAGACTGCTGCTGAAGATTTAATAGCTCAGCACTAATTTGCAACATTTTAAAACTTGATATGAAAATTGAATTTTGTTATTACACAGAGTATAACAGTCATTGGTCATTTGCATCATCCACACCAGCACTAGTGAAAAAGTGCCTTCTGAACAGGGATGAGAAAACATGGCAAGTTTTGTTACCAAGTTGTGTCTCTACTCATCTTGCACTAAGCAGTGCATGGAAATAGGTGAGCAGAAATTCAACAGTATACCAAGACACGCCATGTTTTCACATGCACTGATTCCATGCGTATCTCAAAAAAAGTTCAAACATGCAGCAAAATGTTTGTTAAAGCACTTTAAATGCTCACCAGATGATAATGAGTGATTTAATACTCAGACAAATCAAAGCACAGTAAAAGTTTTGTGCTTACACTTCAAGTTTCAGAGTAAAATTGTTTCTATCAGAGTATTTGAAGTGCAATGAAAGGAACATTCCACTGAATTCAGAAACAAAAGACACCATTTAACAAACTAGGAAAATAAGCACAGGTCAGAGTACTGCAATAAATAAACAAAACAGCAGGAACATGCAGACCTCAGAGTCAAAATTTCTTTTTAGACTCATGATATGTAAAAAAAAAGAAAACTTAAAAAAAAAAAAAATCAAGAACAACCCTGACTTTCCCACATGTGGTGTCTTTTTGGCTAAACAAACTGTTAGTCTACTGTAAAGAACACAGATATTACCAGAAAACATTATTTACAGAAAGATTATCAGATGGATTATATAAAATACAGATGAAAATATACACCCTTAGGTTTGAGATAAGCCAAGCAAATTCACTGCTGCTAACTAAAGCACTTTGAAAAAGGCGACAGGCACCAAATATCAAAGTTGAATCACAAAACTACTTGCAGTAACAGACAAATTTGGGACGGTAGAGGAACAGCAAAGATCAATTAAGTCGGAATGATTTATAACTAATACTAGCCTATCACTTATTACTTAGTTTCATTCAAATTCTATTTTTCTTATACAAAACTGAAGAGAAACCTTTACTCCCAGACTGTGATTTCTTCAGCAGCTTTTTTCTTAATGCATCTATGTAATGCTTTGAACTCTACATCTTACAAAATACATCCCCACATTTAAGTGCATGACTAGAAACTGTGCTGAAATCGTGGAAAAGCGCTTCACAGATCTCAGGTGCAATAAAGTCATAACAATGATCAGCTCCAGTTTCTGGAAGCAGTTCTGTGAAAGGTGAAGCTTCAGAAAAGGGACTTTGATCCCTGGTTTTCGAATTCTGACCATGCATCATTCAATTCCATGAAGATCATTTTGGCATATTGCTCATAGGGTTGTCCTGTGGCCTGGAAACAAAGAAAATGTACCATAAGCAAAAAAAATTAGAAATTAGGTCCTTAGAAAATAACCCACCCCTTTTACATTTGCTGTCTTACTCAACAGCTATAGACTGCTCTGTGAATACAATTTTACAGATAAGAGAACTCTCTCCAAAATTATCCAAAGCTTGCAATGAGTATTTTTTAAACAAATCCAAATCCTTCGTTTCCTTATGTTACTTTCAAGCTTTCAGTACAATTAATAAGTAATTTAAATTTACTTAAAACAATTTTCAAAGCTGTTCTTTTCATAAATAGTTGCAGTTACTATTACTTACTAATCAAACTAAGTCATTTTTTTAATTGCTTCCTAAAAGATCTTGCAGTGGTGTACAAGGATAAAATCTGAGTCCTCTTTAAGATAACTTTTTTTTAATGAAATTCTCTAGAGAAAAATGTGTTGCTGATTGTGACTGCTGCTAGGACTCAACATGACTGACATAGCACTTCCAGTGTGTTTGCTTCCATACTCAAAAATAGTACACTCCTGATCCCCTGCCTGTTTCACAGATGCCTGACCCGGGGGCAACACAATCTAACCCTTGTGGTTAATAAGCATCCAGTCCCAAAATATGGCTCTCTCCAATAGAAAAGGGAAGTCCCAGAGCCTCCTCTGGTATCCTTCCTCTTCTCCTGCTGCTTAGCTTTTGCCATCTGCAGTACTTTATCAACACATAACAGGTAAGTGGCAGAATAAAAGAACAAGGAAGACAAATATGCCTTAAACAGAGCTGTGTTCTGACTGATGAATTAAGGGCCTTTCAGAAAACACCTATAAAACCACCACAAAGGTGGAAGAAATCACATACCCAAGAAGACTGAAGGAGAGGGGGATCTAAAAAACCAAAAAATATCATGTTTGTTATGGACACAAGACAGCATAGGATTTAGACTACTGCTCACTAAAGCACCAGTGAATGCAAACCTGAAAATCCAAACCAGTTATATCCAATGCTCCTCTTTCTATCTAATGCAAGAGCACAGAACAAGAAGCTGCCTCGATACTTTGGGATGCATTAAGTATTTTTATAAGACATCTGATAACTTGTTTATTCTAGTCTAGTTCTTCTAGATGTTCTTGCTTCTAGATGCCTTCTAGTTCTAAATGCCTTGCTTCTCAATCAGAAGGACAACTTCTGATTGAGAAGCAAGGCATTTGCCAGTAACCAGTATGTAAAAGCAGTTTGTAATCCTCCTATAATAAAGAAGATCAGAGGAAAACACTCACCTTATCAGGATGAACCACAAGCACTGCTTTCCTGTAGTACTTCTTTACTTGTTCAGGAGTTACTAAATCTGCCATGCTGACTGGCTTCCACTTGTTTTCCCCTTCCCAAAGCACTGTATGTAGAGTGGATATTAATGCTCTGATATTTCTCTCCTTTCCTTCAATCCATTCAAGAATCTGGGAAAATCAGAACATACAGAACTGAATGCAGCACTCTAAGCATTCTCAGCCTCTACAGGCATAATCTTCACTCTCTGCAAAACTGTATGATCACAACTCACATACAGTTACATGTTACAAACATCTGTATAATTAATGGCAAGAAAAATGACAGGAGTAATTAAAAACATCTGTTACAATTTGATATTAGATTCATCTTGTCCCTGTCAGGGCACACATACAAATTATTACTTGATTTGTACAAAAGCATAAATATATTTTAAAACTTCTGTTGTACAAGCTTTGTACAAAAAATCATGTCTAGTAATAATTCATGTTTACTTAGGCAACCTGCAGAGGTGCACAGTCAGTTAATGTTGCTCAGACTTTAACAGCAATATTCAAGCCATAACATAGAGATACAATGATTTTATCATACACTTATTATCACCAATGAGGATGATAACTAAATATCTGTACTAATTTCCATTTGTGGTGATTCGTGTTAAAAGGTAGGCATGCAAACTACCTACTCGCTCTTCAAGAAAGGACACCTTGTGAAAACAAATTTCAGCATTCCTTTAAAGTTCATTTACAAACCTTTCTGAAGCACCATGAAGACTAAAAAACTGTAAGTGTATTAATATATGAAGTCATCAATGACTAACTGGTCAAAAAAATCTGAACAGCAAGGAACACATCCCAAACTAGTTATATATCCTGTCTCCAGAATTGCACCTTCTAGTAATTTCTTAGGACAGCAGCAGCACTTCTTAACCAGAAAATGAAAGTACATTATCACCCTAAAGACAGCTATTCTCACATCCTTCATTTTTAAAGTGTATTTTTGTGTTATCAGCTAAATCCATCTTTTCTAAACCATGAGCCTTTAGTTTCTCTGTTGGTCATTGTATCCTGCGCTGTTACTAGCAGTTCTAACCATAAGATCAGATTTTCACTTGAATCAAAATCACTGTTAAACAAACCTTGAGTTTCAAGGGGTCCATATCTTTAGACATCTCTTGTTTTCTCATCTCAGCAATTGTCTTTGGTCCCTTTTTATCAGATTTCGCTGAAAATCCTTGATTAGATAACAGATCCTCAAAGTCATTTTCTGAAACTTTTGGCTTTTGACCTATGAAAAGAGAAAAAACATTAAATGAAAAGTTTCACTGGAGAATACATTAACAGGAGAAATATATTGCCCTTAGATACACCTGGATGGCATTTATCACTGCCATGATAAATATCCTTCAGTGATGCCAAAAGACACAAAATTGAGAAGGATAAAAATAAAAGGCATCGTTAACAAACTTTCAGTCCAGCAGAGCAGACAACCTAACTTGCTAACCTCTGACTAAATACTTGCATGTCCTCCTTTTGTTAAAAAATGGAGTAGATTTGAAGGAGCACACATCTGTCCACTAATTTGGAAACTGCTCTGTTTTTCCACTCTAAGTTAGTTTCAAATGCTATGCAGCAGTTTCCCAAGTAACCACATACTCAATACTATAATTGAAAGCATGTAGTCAACACCTAAGTATGTTAAAACTTATCCAGAATATTGAACGGATAAAATACCAACAAGAATATTCATTACAGAACCGACAAATTTCAGAGAACTGTAGAATAACTGAACTCTGAAGAGTCTTCTGGATGTTATCTAGTCCAATCCCCACTCAAAGCAGGGACAACCAGGTACATTTGTTAGGTCCTTGTCCACCTGAAGTCCAAGTTTTTAAGGAAGAGGAATTGCAACAACCCCTTTCAGCACTTCATCACACCAATTGATTTTTTTTGCCTTGTTCTACAGACTTTGCTGTGCTGCAACCTATGCTCACTGCCTCTGCATCCTGACACCTTTTTGCAGATATGGACAAAAAGAATAATTCCAACTTAAAGAAGTACCTGCTGTTCACTTATAGGTCAGTTTAATGGAAGCACAATCCTAATACCAACACAACAGAAAATGAAAATTTCCAAGAAACTTCATACAGAAGAGGCCAAGCCTAACTCTACAACTCCAGGTTTGTCTACTCAGCTGTAACATGTTAAAGGACTGTATGATTCCACCTGGTCCTGTTCCCATGTCGCTTTCAAACACAAGAATTTTCAGTAATTTTAACCTCAATCTTTCTCAAGACAAGCTACTCTTCTTCAGCCAGGATAACCAGTGTATCCCTTTACCTTTGTATCACAAACAGACTAACATGAAGCAACATTATCAACCATCTCTCTCCAGATGGATCAAATTTACCTTTCTGAACTCACTGATACAAAACCAGTTCCCATGTTGGTGAGTTATTATAGCCTTGAGACTTTATGCCCAAACTCACATATACCTGTGCTTTGGAAAGGCAGGATACCACCAGGTTTGCCAAATGTTGTTCTGTTTTCTAGTAGACACAAATGTAAATAAAAACATGAAGGTAGAAAAGCTTCTGCAGGTAACAGCACACCCAACTAATTTCACATGGGACATTATTAGTAATACACATTCAAAAAACTTACCAAAGCTTGGAGCTCTGACTCCTCTTTCTTCTCGTCCTCCAATTACACTGAAGTTTACAGTGTAGTTGGGCTTAGCTGCAGTGCTGGACTTAGTCTGGGACTGCCATGAAGTACTTTGTGGTTTGGAGCATTTCTGCCACTGATTTCCCAGCTTCTGAGATGGAGCAGTCTTCTGACTAAATCCACTACCCAAGAGTCCACCAGTGGATGAACCTAACAAAAAATACTAAGTTAGTTATTCAGTTTAATGCCTGTCACCTGTTCAATACAAGTAAGACAGTTTGGTCTTGACATATAACCACATAGCTCACAGTAATATAACAGGAAAGTGTGGGTAATGAAGTTTAGGAGTCTCATTAAGAAGTAACTTGGATAGCAGGACCTGGAGGCTTTACTGAAAGTCTTCTCTTACAACTCAAGGTTTCAAATGTCAGTTTTAGCAAAGACATGCACCCTTATCTGAAGGGTCAGGCACATGTCAGGCTAGGAGATAATGTGGCTGTGGCAATAGTTCTGCCTTCCACTTCTGCTAATATGCAGTGCATAATAAATATATATATTACAAAAATTGGTAACAGACTGAGAAGATTTTCAAATTAATGCTTTCAAAGTCTCTAGTGATTCCTTGCGCTACTGTTTAAGGAAGATGAGAACATTATTCTGTAGCAGCAATCACAGGGAATATACTGTATGTGAGTAAGAAAAGCACTGCAGCCTGCAGGAGGTACTGTAATCACTCTCCTGTGACAAGGTCAAGCCTGTCTGGGTACACACAGCAATGCAAACTTGTTTCGCTCTTTCAAAAATGGCTTCAGCTCTCCTGATGCCTCCCTTTTGAAGTGGCTGCCCATACCTCTAATTTGCACAAGAGGATGTCTCCCCAGGGCCATGTACAAGATACCATACTGTATCTTGAAACATCATACCTGATAAAACACAGTATTGCAATACAACAACACCCAGTGAAATCTAGGAATGCACTACTTTTTCATTAAATCACTCAACTGCATCAACTCAGTTTTCAGTCATTGACAACTTGTGAAATTTACAGAAAAAAAATTTGCTACTTGTCAGTAAATAACACTGCATACCGAAAATCTCTCTCTTTCACCTATTCTTTCTACATTCACTATTGCAGTTTTCAAGCCAACAAATTCTTCCTGTAGGACATGTCAATGCCTCACTGTTCACACAAACTTTTCAACACCACACTCTTAATTTCTGGTGGAAGACCACTCCTAAAGAAGAGTGTGACAACACCAATCAACACAGAACACTATTGGTATCCTACCAGTATGCTAATACACCAGTATTAACTACTTTTAGCTGCTATTTCTTTTGGTTTTATATCGTATTCATATTTAAGCAGCTTGCACTCTCATAAATTTTCTTCCAGAACAGCATCTTGTATATGGAAGCCAAAAAACTGCTATGAAAAATACAACAGAGTGTGGTATTCCAGTCGTATTCAAAAACTGGATTCCAGTTCTTGAGATGCCTTGAAAGTTCATTTCAAGCCTGAGAATATTCACTAGGACAGTGAAATCTGGCTACTTCTTAATGCAGTCATTTTTCCTATTGAAAGCTAACTGAAAAAGTAATGAATTGACCTAGGTTCTGCTAAAATTAGTTTGATTTCTTTAATCTGATTCAGTGTGGGCTATACCTACATCTTCAAGTCAAGAATAAATTTACTTTTTTTACTGTCACACTATCTCTGCATTTAACAACCTGTGTTAACCTGAATTATTAAACTAGATATTTTTTTTTTTTTTTTACTGCAAAACAGCCTTATTGGTACTGCTTCAACACCAGAATTTTGCAGTGCTTATGCCCAAGCAACATCAAGAAGTCAAACACTGCATGCTGCCTAGTGTTTTTACAAGAATTCCACCCAATTCAACACACAGTGCTAACTGCCAAGGCAACAGGGTAAAACCTCCATCAGCTCCAAGCTAAGGGAAAAGCAGGTTTTCTTGATTCAGCAACACTAGGCTGTTCTGAATCATTCTGTGTACTCTGGGCAGCTGGTCACTTTTGTTATGGCACTGTGGGTTCTGAAATGCAAGGACTTCAGCTCTTTTGTGAGTGCTACAGGACTAAGTTCCTGAGTTTCAGGCCAATAAAACACCCTGGAACAAGAGTTACTCCACAATGTCTTTTATCTTCCAGAACTCCTTGTACCCTTCACAGCAAACTGACAGATATTCATAATGCTTTTGGTACTGGTGTGCAGTGGCAGCAGAGCTGTGAAAGTCTACTGAATTGAAAAGAAAGTACTGAATTAACTGTTACTTTGGAACTAAAATTTTAACTATAGTATTAATCAATGCTAGGTAAGAACCTCATGCTCAGTTACTGAGTCAGCAAAGTCCTGGTTTCTCTTACCATCTCAACTCAATTCACAAGCATTAATTATTTTTACTGTTCTTATACCACAGCTGTAGTTATCTTCTGAAATATTATTGTGGATGTTTAAAAAATATCTGGAAGATTCAATCTTTTATTGTTACTCATCAGCTCTCAGCAAATATCTCAAGCTGGACATTGGCAATTAAAAGGAAACACTTTCATTTATAGGCTGGGAAACTATATAATGGCAAATTATATAGTGGGGAAACTATGGGCACTACATAGTGCCTTTAAGGCACTTCCCTTATAGCCTATATAGGCTGTCAGTAACATTTATTGGTACACAAAACAAATCAAACAGCAGAGGCACTAAATATAGTGTATCAAAAGTAACATATTACCTGGAAGACCAGATCCCAGATTGGCAAGATCAGCAAAAGGATCAAAGTTCTGAGCTTTTGCCTGGCTAAGAGACGAACCTGAAGACACACTGGACTGGCTTCCAGTGGTAAAAGCTTGGCCTGTATAAAAAGAAGACACATCACATACCTAGTCTGTTTGAAATCAAGAGAAAGAATAAAAATAGTATCTACACAACACCTCATGCAAACCTCTCGAATATTCTACTTCACAGCATCTTTTCCCATTACAAGAATCACCATTACTATAGAGAATTGAAACAATTTAAGTCCTGTGTCTTGAACTTTAATCTGAAAAACTACACAAGTGCCTTACTAAAGGAGCATTTAAGCAGCAAAGCAAAAATGCATGAAGATATGTTCAGTAGTTTCAGGTGATTAAACTGACCCAGTCTAGTTCCTCTAATGGAAAAATTTAATTTCATAATACCTTCACAAACAGGCTTCAGCTGTGGTGCTGCTACATTGCTGGTTGAGGAATCTGCCCAAGAATCCCATCCACTTAAGAGGTCTGGGTGGCTTGTAGATGATGATATTTTAGGTGGCTCTGGTGTCAAATTGCCTACAGAAGAAAATAGAAATGTTTTCATGTTTAATAAAACCATTTCAATAGTATATGTATTTGTCAATACCAACAGAATGTGTACCACATTGTCAACTACACAGCTTGCTTGAATCTCTCAGTAACAGTTGTGCAGTCTTAAACAGGACTCAGAAGGGTTGTACAACTGGAATTCCTACATTTCTATTTTAAAACATCCCACGCACTTCACAGATAAGGTATTTCCATGTACAGACAATGCTATGAATTTAACAGCTTAGGCCTCCTGACCAAAAGGACTAGCTCAGGTACAAATCTAGGGCATGCTGCTGTTCCTGACAACACGGCTGGTAAATCTAAAGCAGCAGAGTTCCATGAATGGTGCTCTTTATCACTCAGTAGTCTGGGTGTTACACAGGTGAAGCAAGGTCACTTCAAAATGCAGGTTTGCCTAACATAGGCTGCTTGTGACAAAGGGGCCTCTTGGCCAACTAATACACTCTGAGGTGTAACACGCGAATGAATGCACACAATTGAAGAGCAGGATACAGGAAGAATGATTTTTTTTCTGGCAAAGGTAAAGAACCCCTAGCTGCATGGATAAAAACCACTTTTCTGTACCCCATGACAATCTAAATGAAATAGTCATATTTAAAAGCATGCAAGGGTGCTGCTATTATCATCTGGAAAATGTCATCTCCCATCTAAAGGCATTATAACTGCCATACCTGACACTTCCAAATGATTCCCCACTGATTCAATTCAAATGATTGTGCACTCACACAAACTATGAGGTGAGTTATCCTCAGAATGAGATATGCTATGTATGGAACACTCAAAACTGCATGCCAGCTCTGAGCATTCTCCTTGAGCAGAGCTTGTGGGGCCTCACAGTGAAGGAGGACACCTTTTGAATGTAACCCTTATTTTAATGCTGTAACAACTGTCAGTGCTACAGGGAGAGGGAATATTTCAATAAAGCACATTTAGTGGTGGTGTAAGACATTTCATAGACACAGGGTTAACCCAGCCATCCTTAACAAAAGCAGTAACATTCTGAGGCTTTGAAAGTCTCAACTACTACTACTGCCTTTCACTTATCTCAGCATCTCAGCTTTACATTCTAAATATTAATATCAAATCCTCTTAAAGAAATAATTAGAAGCAAATTAAATACCCCTATAGTACCTCAATCTACTAATACCATTTATAATTAGATCTTACAGCTGCAAAGTGAGCACACCCAATACTGCTGAAAAAGTGCAACAAATATCTGCTGAAAGCCTGTATTTCAGCAGTACTCTCCATTTCCAGCCCCTTCTCCAGACCCAAGCTTCATCTCCCTGCCTCTAAAACCATGGGAGAAACCATATATATTGGCCTCAATACTCAGGATCCCAGCTATCTGCTAAACCACAGTGTCACTGGCTATAAATCAGCATCTATTCATCAGCTTAGAATTTTATTGTATCATATTCCACTCCCAAAAGTTAAGCAGGCCTTGAATTACTACTAATATTGATTTTTAGGCTAGAAATTATTTTGTTCTACAATCTCTGCTATTAAGTCTTTTTACAGGAGCAAAAGAAAATTAACACCATCATATGAAATTAACTACTATGAAAACAAATTGAGAGAAACAAGAACAAATTAAATTACAGGCAAATGCATTTGACGGATTGAGAACATGCTATGGAAATGAGCTGTTTTGTAACACTTGGCTTAAGAGAAGTCAAGTTCATTGCCTCCCCCACCCTGAACTAAGCAGGAAGTAGCCTATGCTATGTACAGCAGTAAAGTTGCTATTAATAGTAAAAGCTCATATACAACCACTACATTTATCTGAAAAATCTGAAACAATGCAATGTACAATATACAGAACAGATAATTCATTCTTCCTGAAACTGTTCTTATGCTATCTTCTTTTTAGTTCTACAATGTGGACATTATGTCAGACTTTAACATAAAGAGAAAGTGTTATCAACTTTGACTTCTACATATTCTGAGGAGGTATGATGAGACCATACTGAATCCTTCTTTTTATAGCTGACACACTGCAGTTCATACAGACATATTAAGATAAAGGAGCAGAATTCCTAAAGAAATGTTAAAACATGAACTATAGCTTGATATTCCAAGAATGGAAGCAATTAAAATCATGAACATGCAGATCCAAACCTGGTTGTCTCAGGTTTTTTATGTTTCAATATGCATATTGATAATCCTTAGCCATACAGTTTACTAACACTGCTCAAAACAAGCAAAGATGCAAAAATAAGGTGGTGGTAATCAGATCACACTTTTTAGCTTCCCAAAATAAGGGCCCTGCATTTTACTACACACAACTTCACGTAAGGTTTTCTTTATTTAACTTGCCGTGACTACAGGAAATCCTTTAATCACAGACAACAGGATTTTCTGTGAACCAAGAGGCTGGTTTAGTACGAAGCAAGGTTTTTTTAACCTTATCTAAAGCCTGTCTGAGAACTCAAGTTCACAGAAACTAACTTCTCCTCAGAAGAAAACTACACTGATCACTCAGGTTTCTTGATTTTAAAACTGTGTTTTTTCATTTTAAGCCAACATCTGAGAAATACAAGGTTAAAGTTCTATGTCTTGAACTTATGCCCACTGAAACATCTTTTCTCCTGGTATCTATAGCAGTTTAGTAACCATTTACTAACAAACAAAGCTTATCCATCTCTAAAATTTGATTCTAGCCACTTACAACTGCTCCAACAGTAGAGTCATAAAATCTCACTACTGCAGCTTATTTTGAATGGTCACTGCCATTACTACTAATTTATTTTTAGTTTAATTTTTTTTTTTCCTTTTAATGATCTTCTGTTTGCATTGTCTTCTGCTCACTTAACACAGTTCTTCTGAATACATCATTTGAAAACATGTTCTTATTTTTCCTTTCTTCTCCAGTTACTAGTTATCCTGTCCTTTTAGGACTCAAAAAATCACATTAAGTACAATATAATCATTAATATGCCTTACTTATTTGATAAAATTGTTACCTGTAACTGGATAGAATACTAAAGGCTCAAATACATACATCATTTCAGCTAAACACATATATGAGTTCTCATTTGACAGACAAATGTAAAGGAATATTAAATGTTACCCCAGTTCCTCCACTTCATACAGTTTTTAAAGACTGCATTGCAATAGAGAAATATTGGGAAATCAATGTAAAACAGTCGCCTGAGGAGAAAATGGGTACATTTTAAATATACTTTCCTATGTTGACAGAAAGCTCCAGAAATTACATTAAAATAGCAGGTATCCTAATACACTTACCAGGTTGCAAGCTATCAAATAAAATCAGGAGTAAACACAAAACAATAAACATTGAAGTCAGATGTAAAAATATTCCTTTTTTTTTCTCTACTTGCTCAGATGTTATTAACAGCTGGCTATTGATGGTAATCTCCTTAAGATCACAGATAAACACTTAGAAATCCATATTTCATTTTTTCCACTTTAATTTAATAAATAAAATGTTTTTCTGTCTCCTCTGTGATATGAGGATTCTGGTATTATTAAACTTGGAGAAAAGAACTGGGAACATTCCTATAAATGTGTAAAAATATTTTATGTGAAGAAACAAAAGAAAGACTGACACAGACACTTCTCTGTGTTGCTCACTGGAAGGACAAGAGGCAATAGGGCACAGACTTAAACACAGGGAACTCCACTAAAAAATGCATTATTTCCTCTAAGATCTCTCCAACACTGGCATAAGTTGCCCAGCTGTAGAGTCTATAGTGCTGGAAATGCTAAAAACCAGAAAGGACACAGTCCTGAACAGCCCACTCTACGTGACTCTGCTTTGAGCACATCAGCTAGAGAATTTCCTCTTAAGAGGTTCTGCCTCTCCAGTAAGTTAGATTTTGTCTGAGATCATAAAATATGCTGAGTTACAAGGGAACCACAAGGATCACAGAGTCTAGCTTCTGGCTCTACACGAGACAGCCCCAAGAATCACATCACGTGCCTGAGAGTGTTTTCCAAACACTTCTGGAACTCTTGTCAGGCTGGTGCTGTGAACACTTCCCACTGTTCCAGTGTCCAACCAGCCTCTGGGAGAAAAACCTTTTCCTGATATCCAACCTAAACACAAACTACAGGCCATTCCCTTGGGTCCTGCCACTGGTCACCACAGAGATCAGATCAATGTAGGCCCCTCCTCTTCCCCTCACAAGGAAATTGATGACTGCAATGAGGTCTTCCCTCAGTTTTCTCTTCTTCAGGAGGAAGAGACCAAGTGAGCTCAGCTGCTCCTCATACAGCTTCCCCTTAAGCTCTTCAACATACTCACAGCCTTCTTTGAACACTTTCTAATGGCTTAATGTCTATTTTTATATTGGGGCACCCAAAATTGCCCCTAACACTTGAGGTGAGGCTGCCCCAGAGCAGAGCAGAGCAGGACAGAGTAGAACAATCCCCTCCCTTGCCCAGCTGGTGATGCTGTGCCTGATGCACCTCAGGACAGAGCTGGCCCTCCTGGCTGACAGGGCACTGCTGGCTCATTCAGGCTGCCATCGACCAGGACTGCCAGCATTCCACTCCCCAGTCTGTCTGCATCCAGGTTGCCCCATCCCAAGTGCAGAATCTGGTGAAAAGAATGCTCCACAGATCAGTATTGATACATTCAGCAAAATATTTATGTTTGGTAACCTCACACAGGGACAGCAGTAGTGGCATAAAGCTGGCAACTAGACAAGTACACAACTGAAACATATGGCTCTTACTATCTAGAGGAAAGAACAAAAACATTGCAAAGGAGGCAGCAAGTGGAATCTTCTCAGCAGAATCAACCACAACTGGAATATAATGATTAATAACAAAATAGAGAGAGGAATCAGCTGGGTAGCCTTCAATTTCAAAGAAGAAGCCCTTCTCTCAGTCAGACAAATAATGCATATTTTTTGTCTCCCATTTATGTGTATCTAACACTCAGACTGCATCACTCAGACCCAGGGTCAACCAGAGTAACTGCTAAACAAAGAGGGGCAAGTCAAAGCTGCATGCAATAAGACCTGGGAAGAAGTCACTGGATTCAGGAAAAGGTGTGTGATACCACCATTCCTAGCTACTGCACATTGTTAAGTAGATGTCTGGATGAGAAGAGGCATGGGCTTCTCTGTCGGACACAGCCAGCTCCAACAGACTTGCCACAAGCCACAGCTGAGCTTTCCAAACCAGATATCTTTGGGAAACATGTTTTCCCAAAAAATGCTGCACAGCAGCTCTTAGAGAAGGGACAGGTGTGACAGAAACAGCAAACAGTAAGGTTGGTGGAGAAGGAAGAGGAGGAGGTGATCCAGATACCACAGCAGAGATTGCTCCCCAACATGTGTAAAAGACCACAGTAGAACAAATATTCACACTGCAGCCTGTGGAGGACCATACACAGGTGGACATGTTCTCAATGAAGCCACAGCCCAGGGAGAGCAGCCCACACAGCAGCAGGTTCCTCGTAAGACCTGCAGTGCCTGGGAGAACCACATCCCTACAGCAATCTCTTCCTAAAGGACTGCACCCTACACAGACCTGTGTTCTTAAAAGATTGTATTCTGTGGGAAGTGCCTATACAGAAAGAGGGGACTGAGAAAGTAGCACAGAAGAGCCCTCACAGACTGATCACAACCCATATCCCTATGAAAAGAACCCATACTTTTCTTTCAAAGTCAGATTTTAAAAAGCTTTAACACTAATAGCTGTACCACTCCACCACTTATGCAAATGTCTGTTTCTCCTTAAAGAATGATGGGAAGACTGAACCTATCACAAAGATTTTTGTTTAAAGATTAATACATTTTAAAATAAAAGCATGAGGAAAAGGCTTCGCCAAGAATATATCAGAGAAATGAAACAAATAAGATTAGAGTATTACATAATGTACTTTGTAAGTATATTACCAGAATACATTCAGGTCAGGAAGGTGCAAGCTAGCCTCAGCCTGCACTTTAAGAACTGGCTACATTATAACTTGACTTGCTCATTTGTCTTCCAGGGTTTCCAGAAAACCTTTAAAATCTGAATACAGTCAATGTAGCACACTATCATCTACAAGATATGTTTCCAGATGTTTGGGTACCCTCAGTTATTAGATCATTGAGAGGAAACTCCAATTAGCAACACTAGAAATCCTGTCACATCATAAATAACAGCATCACATTATACAGGAAACACTTGCTTTTGGTGCATTTGCATCTGTACTTCCAGAGTACAAAGCTAATTAAAACAGCAATCACAACAAGTGGATCTATTAAGACAATAATCCACTAAGCTGAAAGACAAATGCACAGAAGAGAAGAAACTGTTGAGAAACAGAACACCAGAAGCACACTTACCTAAATTTAAGAAATCTGAGCTGGAAGAAGGTGGAAGTGAACTTTGTGTGGAAGGAACTGTATTAACTGTAGATGTTGAGGTTGGATTAAGGAAGTCCCCAAAGAGGTCTGGACCAGACAGGGCTTGATTCTCTGAGCTTGATGACATTGTGAATGGGTCAAATGGATCGGCTAGAAAAGAAGCAGGAAACAAAATTATCTCAGGATTAATTGTAGAATAAATGAAGTTGAAAAAGCCTTACTCCACCGAGGGCACAGACACAAAAGCAAAGCTCACACTAGTAACTGCAGCAGCCTTCTGTGAACTTCGTGTGGCAAACAGTAACCATCTATTCCTTCCTCTAGACAAATGAACTTTCACATGTTACAAAAAGGGTCTCAGCCATACATAATATGAAAAGCTATGTCTTCTAACAAAAGCAGCAAGACTGCATACAATTCAACAGCATTGTTAATTTCATCCATTTAAAACACATCTTAAGTTTACATGATCATCTGACACACAGAAGAATTACATTTGTTAAATACTCTATAATGCCAAATCAGCAACAGATTTGAAGAAAATGGACTATCATACTATTAAAAAGAATATGAAGTAAAACATTCATACTACCATTCAGACTTGAAGGCATTGGCAATTCTGGGGCAGAAAACACGTCAACCCAAGAATGAAAACCAATAGAAGTAAGACTTCAGCAGGTCTCTAGTGATGCCAATGAAGAAAAAAAACTAACTGGAAGAGTATTTATAGTCAGCATGGAGTAACATGTGACAGTCAGCTGGAATCAGGGCTTTAGATATTCCTGTTTCTGCTGCCCTCTAGGGTCAAAACCCCTCAAGAGCCCAGGGAGTCCTGCCAGATTCACTCAGAAGCTGAAGAGAAGGAATAATCCTGCTGTAATACCCCAGCACATCCTCGGGTAATGACCACATAGTACAGGACTCAACATTTCAAGCGTATTTACTATAGCATCACACATAAACGAAGCCTCAAGTATTAGTTTGTTGTGCAAGCCAAAAATACAACAGTGGCCAATTATTCTCACTTCTGCAACTATCTCTCTTAGTACAATTCAATGAAATACACTGAATGAGAATGACTATAAGAATGAGATATATACATGAATACTAATCAGATGTTTCATGCAATAGACATGGCTAAAGAAAGATAATGTAATGAAGGTTTCCTTTTATAGAATTCTACCTATGTAAAAATGGTAAATGAAAATTATTCTTCCCTGACCACAGCAATAAAGCTTAATAGTGAATTGCCTCAAAATGAGAAAACATCTTAAACCACCTAAATGCTCTGTAAAACATACTTCTTGTTGTCTAGAGATGAAAGCTTTTAGTACCTATGAATTATCTTTGTGCAAACAAAACCTTGTAATGGTTTCCTTGTAATAATAATAATAACCTTGTAATATTCCCAGAAATCTTACTTTTAGATTTAATTAACTTTAGGCAGAGAATTGTTATTCCCAAAAAGTGACAGAGATGAGTGAGTATCCACTGGTAAGAGGAACAGAATCTCTGAACTAAAACACCTTGCTTAAATACCAAATAGACAGCACTACATAGCATTCTCCTTAAGGATAATGACTTGCCAACATCAGTAAAACCAGCAAGAAAACATCTTTTAGCAGTATCATCTTCCTACTGGTTTGAATAATAATCTACAGGATTTCCAGCTGCTCAGCAGTCTTATGTGATTAACACTTAAAAATCCCATGCAGACATTTGACCCAAGCAACACAGCTCTGTACATCTAATGCCGTTGCTTTATGTAAAGTTCAAGTTATAACAAGTCTATGCCTTAACAAGGAAAATTATGGACTTAGAAAAGGATCTAGCATGCAACATTCATATAGGAAAGCTAAGAATTCCTTCAGATACTGAATTCCCTTGAAATTTAAAATTTGATACTTTTCTATTTACAAGAGTTTAAAGCTAATAGGATACTGGTAACATAACAGAATATATGGGTAACATATAGGAACTTCAATCAGAAGTAACACCTTTTCTACTCAGTGTTGCTACAGACTGACATGCCTTCACCATTCAACATCTTGAAACACGGTACTTATTTTCTAAGCACAACACAAGCAGCAGTTTTCATGTGTTGATAAGTACTGACGTTAAACTCACATACCTGAAGACACAGCTGCTGCTGAAGATGAACCCTGAGTAGCAGCTGGATGCTGACTGCTGAAAAAGAAATCTGTTCCTTGTCCAAGAAGATCTCCAGTGGACTCGTTTGAAACCTGTGACACACTACTCACAAACAGATTGTTCAACAAGTCAGCATTACTTGATGAAGAGTTTATTTCTGAGATAGGTTGTTTCTGTTCTACTGAAATATCAGAGTCTAGTCCCAGCAAGTCCACATTCTCTTCAGGGAGAGATTTTTGTAATGGTGCAGATGGAGCTTCAAAACTGGCTTCAAAAAGCAACTCTCCTTCTGGAGTAGAGTCTTTCTCATCAACAATTACTGCACTTCCTTCATCTGGAAATGTCTGGAACTCCTCATCTGAAGGATCACTCTCTTCCCTGTCATCAGACACCTGAACACAATCATTTTTAGATGAACCATCCTCTATTCCACTTTCTGGAGTTTTTCCTTCTTGAATAGAAAAAAAAAATAAAATAACATCTTTAAATAACCAGCATTATTCTTCTAACTAGGGTAAGAGAAACTTTCATGGTGACAGCATATGAAGTTAAATCCTAACTAACCAAAACTCACATAAAAATTGATGAAAAGGAACTACATGCTGCCTGCCAGCTCTTTGTACAGGGCAGAAAAAGCAGCAGTTGACTACCATATATGCCACTCCAGAAGGCAGGCATTATGAATTTTTTCAAAATGAGACTGACTTGGACATTCACCTCAGAGCACTGTGTATCTTAGAGCTTACAAGATTCCTCAGTAACTGCTGCACTCAATAGAAGTATAAGCAGCTGCTGACATTTTTAACAACAAAGCAGGAACCAGAAAAGGGAGTTACCCATGTGCTATAAAAGTACATTTTCTTTGTCCTACTTACTGATCTGGACCCCACTGGCTAGTCTACTTTGTTTCCTCTGTTCCTCAGTCAAGTGGGGCTGTGGGAGTGAAAAGCTTCCTTGCAGATCTTTAAGGTTAAGATCTTTACAGAAAAGGAAAAATTTAGCTCAGCATTTAAGTTATACTCAACACCAAACCCCCTTACTTGGTGTTTATCCAAATGAAGCAGAATAACTGCTTGTTACTCTGCAGAACTCACTCTTTAAACAGCTTTTCTTCATGGCTAGTGAATTAGAGACTTTTGCTACTTAAGAAGACTTAAGCATTCACTGGAAGGCATACAAGACAAACATAAATGACACAGTACTTCAGAGGAAAACCTGTACCTTTCCAGTCCAGAGACTGAAAGAAGTTGTTTGCATCAGTACTGCCACTGTGTGGGGATTCTGTATCAGTAGGTGCACTTTCTGAAGACCGCTCCAACTGGGATGCCTCTGCCTCGTATTGTGCAGTCGAACCCGGCTGTCTAGGCAACTCTGGTTTTCCTATAAAAAAGAATTTAAGCCAGAGCTCTTAGAGATAAAATTCCCAATCCTCCACATGGCAGCTGGTACTTGTCTTTCAAGCTGACTGCTGTAGCAAGACAATCGTCCCCAATCCATTGCTCTGCAAATGCAAATTCCTGCCCCCACCATCTTTGAAATTAGCATTAGCTTCTTTTCAACTGTAAAAACTGGTAAAACCCAGTTTTGAACTAGGACATTAAATCAGAATCATAAAGTAACACTCAAGAATTCTATTTACATTTGTAGGAAAGTGTAATTAACACCTCACTTGCACCAACCATCCTCTAAGACACGCAAGAGCTATGAACAGTATCTGTAATAAGAGACAGAAAAACAGAAAAAAGCAAATACAGCTGTAGAAAAACACAGAATATGCAAAGCCAGTGAAGAACATGGAGAGGTTAAAAATGGGGTGGTACACTGTATGATGCTATCAACTGCTTCTTATATTTCTTATTTTACTGAAATCAGGTATTAAGTGATTCTTGTGTAAGATTCAGTTGTGCTGTTGTATCACTTCTCAAAACCCAAGTTTCCTCAAGACAAATGAAGAAGACTTCCCAAATTAGTCAATATTCATCCACTGTTTGAAAAAAATAATATGGATGCCTGGGAGAAATCTATTTGTCTTAATTTAAATACACAACTGGTAGAGCACTTTTTCACTCTCCTTCCACATTCTCAGTTGTAACTTAGAGATGCTTAAAAAATAGTCTGTCTCAGAAAACATACATGAAATATCATAATTAATGAGAGAGTAAATTCAATTTTAATGACAAGGGTTTTTTTTAAATCAGTTCACAGTACTTATTTTTGTCCTATTTCCCCCTTCCCACCAATCTTAAGAAATACTTTCAGTGTAATTTGAAATCTTTACATTTCCTGTACCAATCAGAAAATGGAAGTGACTTAAGAAAATAAGAGTATCTTTTAGAGCCCCATCATCAATGATGATGCAAAGCTAAACACCTTAGCTTTAGAGAGCTGATAGTTGTGTTCACAGCTAAATAAAATAGAAAATGGCCTCAAACATAATACAAACAACACATATCCAGCTTAAAAGCAAAAAGGCCAGCAGCAACTATCTTGTATGAAAGGAAATGTACTTGAGATGACCATATTAACAGCACAGGGTGAGACCTCATGTATCACTAAAATCACCATAGTAATCTTCATCAAACTTCTTTATCCTTGAAACACAGAGAAGGCTTAAGAGCCTGAATGAAAATGGAAAAGCTAATCACTGATACCAGGAGAAGAAGAAGGATACCGAACAGTATTAACTTCAACTAATGCAGGCATCTACAGACAAAGCACTGAATATGTAGAATTAATAAAACAGTGTCTGCTGGAACATATTAGGAAAAGTTCAGGCAATTAATGACAACATTACATGGCTATGCATAAGAATGTTGATAAAAAAAGTCTTACCTAAAAACATTTGTGAGGAATGCCCATATAATTCAAAGTGAAATTATATTGGTGCCAGTTTAGCCAAATAAATCCCATTCAGGACACTGCCTACAAATAATGACTGTTACAATTCCATTTGCTAGAAGTCCCTCCCTGCAAATGGCCTACAGAGCTATGAAACCAAGCACATGTAAGCAGAGTAGAAGTAAGACAGGTATAATTATAATCCTCATTACTGGAGGATAACTTAAGCTCCTCCAAATAATGCATATTTTTATCTGATATTTACAAAAAAAACTTTTCCTACTTCTTTTAATTAACAGAACATCAAAAATTAAACAAAAGCCTCAAACACTAAGCACATTGAAAACTTTTTCACATTTTCTAGTTTTTCAATGGATTCATTACCAAATTTTGATAAAATCTCTTGCTGTTCCTCTCGGGTGGAGAAGAGGATCTTGGGATTCAGGCCTTTTATATTCATATTATCCCAAGGTGGCTGCTCACAGCTGGGCCTATCTCTGGGCTCCACCTCTACTTCCAGATTGACTTGAAATAAATCAGGGTATTTCTCTTGTATGTCACAGGCATCCAGATCATATCTGTAAAGACACAGACAAGAACTTTATTGATAATGATAGCTAACAGGATTAGATCTACTGCAGTCCAAAACAAAACTCCAAAGCAACTAGTACAAGACATTAAAAATGCTGTGTTTGTTTAACTATTTTAAACAGGTGGTATTTTTGTATATTGTTTGTATAATGAACAAAACATTTAGCTTCCTTAAGGTGAGTAAACAAAAGACTCTTGCTGCAATCAGAGTCATCTATTTCCTGCACTGATATATTTCCTCTCCCTGGTATATGTTGATGTTTGGCAAGTTATGCAGTTTCAAAGACAACTTCTTCCAGTCTCATAAAATAAGGTGCAACATACTTGGCAAATTTCACTGTAGTAGCATTTCGGGGCACAAAGCCTGTATGGAACTGAATCTGAAACATCTTCATTGAAGCCATCTGTTGAAAACAAGAAACAGGAAACTGTATAAATCCACCTGAACAGTATGTACAATGTTCTGCCTTTAACATAATGCAAAGTATCAGTATTAAAATATTTTGAAGTACTTGCTCTGCTACAAAAATTTCAATTTAATTACAAGTATACTTTATCTTGAAAGATTTAAATGCAGTTGAAACACAAAATAAATAGATCTATTACTAGCACTAACAACCCAAAAGACCTTCAGTCAGATATCTCATCATTAACCTAAAAACAGACTATCAGTCTTAAAGTATTTCCAGATCCTATTCTGGAAGTTAAAACTGTATGACCCTTGTTCCTTTTCTGAATAGCACATGCTCAGAAAAATCCACTTTGCAATAAAATAAAACCAAGAAATATATATTTATGTCACATATAAAGGAATAGACTTAAAGCAGTTTTAAATATACCACACTTAAAAGGAGAGAGCTTCTCTGATTCTTCCATCCCTACCATCACTTTCCTAGAAGATAAACTGAACTCTCCCTCTACTTAGCTGTGAGAAAGTGGAAGACATTCGTAACACCCAGCTCTAAACACAGGAGAAATCTTGAAATGTGGTGGTTAATCTCTGTAAGAGATCTGCAGAGAACTTTAGGGGTCAATTTACAGCAGATAAAACTAAGGATACATTGAATATTGTTCCATCAAACCTTCAAACCCAGATCATCACACACACTGTTGAGGTATCATGTGTTATAGCTGACAGCTGAGAAAATTCTAGTCTTTTATATCAGTGAATAAATGCCAGAGAAACCATATCAAAGAAACTCTCCTGGTCTACCATGAATAAAAGTGAGATGGTACAAGAAGTATAACCTAACCTTGGCTAAATTTTGTCAGTTTTATGCCTTTCTCCTGATGACCTTTAATCATACAGTAGTTATTTTTGCTCATTAAGGAATCATTTCACTGAGTTTTTAGTTTTAAGGTATTCTGGAAGGCCTTGTTGAACATGACAATATTTGATACATTCCTACTCATAAAGCAGAAAAAAAACAGGGAGAAAACAATTTCAGTAAACACTAACTATGTATGAATACATATGCATGTCCCACATGCACCAAAACTGGTTGAAAAAGTGTCTTATCAATTTCCACAAACCTCCAAGCTCTAAACTTTGGGCTATCCATTCTTATCTTTTATATAGATTTCCAAGTTTAATTGGGTTACTTATTTGGAGAAAAAAAGAGCATGCCTCTTCTTTAAAAAAATTTGAAGACAGGCTTCATTAACAAGTTTTTTGTGATCTTGCAACACATTCGCATCCATAGTTGAATTAAAAAAGGAAATACGCATTCTCTCTAGTAGAACAAAAACAACTAAAAAAAATCTACAAAAACTGAACCTGACTTTAGAAATAGGCTCTAAAAACACATGGATTTTTCTAGCCTGTTTTGTACAGGCAGTCTCTGGAATCCCACTTTTCTGCTGAGTGGTATTTTTCCTTTGTTTGCAGTTTGTGTGCACAGAATTAAAAAGTTCCAGCTTGTTGTGCAACTTAACAGGTAATAATTGCTGCCTTGAAAAAAAAGCCAAGGGGCTTTCCCTATAAATATAACAATTATCAGTACTGAAGTACTTTCCAGAAATGCTTACAAAAGCATCTACATGTACAGCATTAGGAGTGGACATACTCAGAAGGCTTGAAAAGGTTGAATTCACATGTTAATGAAAACCTCAAACATTTCTCTGAATAAGTAATAGTAAATAAAGCAAAATACTCAGTAGATAACTAGTAGGATACTAAATTGCAACTAAAAATAAAAAGCAAATCTTCCATTCAGACTGTGAAATTTATCATTACCTTGGCTTGTAGTCGTCCTCCTAGAGTCGACCTGGCATGATAGATCACAATGAGAACATCCCCTTGGACTGTTATACCCAATGGGATTACTGCTTTCCCATCTTCAATTTTAAACTCCCTAAAGGGAAAAAAAAAACATTACCACAGTCAAGTTAGTTTAGAAAGAAATTAAATATTGTATTACTTTAGATTTAGCCTGCTTTCTCCAAGGCTTTCAGTAGCTAAAACGCTAGAAGGGCTTTAGTATTCTCTCATTTTTCTTGTCCATCATTACCCACATCTAGCAGTGTTACTACCATTTGCAGTTGTGCAGACATTAGAGCTGTACAGGGGCTAATACACAGTCACCTTGCAGCTGCCATGCCTGGGGGATCCTTACGGTTTCCACGACTGAGACATGATGAGCTCAGCACAAGTACATCAGGGATCAATGTTCCCAGTCTTACATCACATGGAGTGAGAAGAGGGTCGTGCTCACTGCCTCGCAGTGTCCAGTGTGCTAACTCACCACCACCCCCACTGTTCTGCAAGACCAGCTGCTGCAACAGCCACATTCACGATTCACCTTTTGAGACCAGCTAAAAGGGGACAGAGGAATCTGTCCCTTTTGAAAACATGTAAATGCTAGAGTCTAGAAAAACATAATTTGCTGTTTCAGAGCAAGTCATAATCTGTACTTACTTCATTTTGTCATATTCCTGGGAGGTAGTGGTTACTCTCTCATCTCCCACATAAATCTCACAAAAAGGCCTGCAGCCATTACGCTGCTTACTGAAAAGCGGAACGGGAGTCATGACAATCGATCTGACCAGGATGGGCTTGCTGTGAGGGATAATGGGTTCTTCAGCCATCATATCACACATGTACTCAATGTATCTGCCAAAAACAGATGGTACTCATTTAGTCAGAGCACAAAATTCTAAGAAACGGGTGAACACATAAGCAAGTTACATCTTACCCAGTCACTAAGCATTAACAGTGAAACAGTGGGAACATTTACCACCACCTCCAGCAAACAGATTTTCAAATCTCATAAAATGACACAAAAGGGTCTGTAGCTTTACATATAATGACTTGTAAAATAAACCAGTCACTATTTCAAAAGGTCTTAAAACACTAATCTAGGAGAACTATTTATTTTGTATCTTATACATAATGGATCACTCAAATCTTCCTAAAGGCTTTAAATTTGTCCTGATTATTATATATTATTTTGTGGAGAACCTCTTAAGTATGCATGAAGTAAATGTGTACAAAAACATAATCTGTCATTTATACTGAATTAATATTTTATTTCCCATCCTTCAAAATCTAATCATTTTTTAGGAAACACCCTTAATACCAGTGTCACTTGTTATTCGCACTTTACAGTTATAAGATCTATTAAATTAAGTCAAATAAACATTTTAAAACATTTGTCAAAGTATATGCAAGTCACCTCTGCATGCACTCCAAAAAAAAAGCACTAGGTGTTTCTACCCAGTTGACAAAAATAATTTCTGGTATTCCCTCAGAGCTTGCAGTGTTCTGACATAATAAAACATATTGTAATAAACGAGGAAACATGAAATAAATCTTACCTATGTGGAAGAGGATTTTATAATTAAGAAAGCATTCAAAAGCTTGGCATACCCTTGTCTTCACTCCTAACACTTCTTCACCACTTGACCCATTTCTGATGGGTACTTACAGGCTCAGAAAGTTCAGAACTATCTTTAATTCACGATATAGCAAAGTACTTGGAAAAACAGATGTTTGAACACAGACATTATTGAAAGAATTTATCTTTCTAAACACATCCTATACCATATCAGAACTGAATAACTACTTGCCTCAACAGTACCTTACAGTACCTTTTATGAGAAGGCCAAATGCCAGGTGGACAGCGTTTCATACTGAACATATAAACAGCAGCTTCAGCAGTAGTGAAGAGACGACAAAAACACAGAAAAGAACAGACTACAACAGCAGATGCTGCTCTTCCATCCTAGTTAAAAAAACATGTAGCTTTGTTAGTAAATCTAGTGGAAGAAGTATTATCCAAGTTACTGAAGAACATCCCATTCTGTATCCTATAAGCTATCATTATTTAATGTCATGATGTCCAAAGTCTAGTGTTTTTATTTGATTTGAACTTTGTAGCTGAGTGTGAAAGCTTTTCATTCAACTTCCAAACCATAGAAAAGATATTACATATTACTTTCTTGTTCAAATGTGAATAACTACTTTAGCTTACCACTATTTGAAATTTTCAATTTATGTTCTTTACCTTACTGTTACTAATACCCATTTTTAAGGTTTGTTTCCTGGCTGCTAACTGAAACCCCAGAACACTGCTATTTTTGACTGATAGCCATGGATTTCTGCTGCAAGAAAAGTACAAAGACTCAGAAGAACTACACCACACTAAACTCTTTAGACTTCTGTCTAAAACTGTTAATAGCATGCCATGAAACAAAAAGAAAGAGATTAAAACTGAGCTTCTTTCTGCAGGAATGTATCCGCTACACAGATACATCCCTGTATTATAAAAGGCAGAAGATTCAAAAGAGATAATGGTTGACAGAACAGGACTTCTCCAGGTTTGCTAGCTGGAAACATGGAACAGAATTTTTATCATTCATTTCTTAAAGTTCTGGTGTACACTTTACGTAACATCTGGCACAAAGCCATGTATATACAAAAGTTTGCCTCACATGGGAAAAAAAAAAATTAGTTAGGCACCTTGAACAAAACACTTCAAGGGAAAGATGTTTAAAAACTGTTGCAAATTCAGCACATCTGCTTCTTACCTACTTGACCAGCAATCACTTGACACTGAAGTAGTAGAAGTATTGCATTGATATAGAATTAGATGCCTAACCTCACAGCAGCACCAAAAATTATACTGGCTTTCAGGAGCTGACATGAAATGGCTTTTCACTTGCAAAACACTACATAACTCAGAAATATGGTTTGTCAGATGAACAAATTCTGGTTTTGACTCTGATAGTGATACTCCCTATTGATGGCTATACCATATCACCAGACAGGTTTTGAATGCTTTCCAGCAGCATTGCAAGTATTGTCACATAGTCAGTCACGTTTCACTTTTTACTCTGCAGCAAAATAAGAATGTCAAAATTTCACATGCAATTCTCTTAAATAAATATAAGAGTGACCTAATTTTCAAATTTTGAGCAAAGTATTCTTTAAATTCATTCCTCCCACCATGTTTGACATGAGGTGGCTCTATAGACAGTTTTATTGCTTTTTTTGGTTATATCAAAGTTAATACTTTAGTGAATAGTGAAATCTACAGATCAATCTGCTGCCAGCAAAATCAGGTAAATCAGAAGTCTTAAAGTCAGTTTCTGAAATTCTGTGGCCACAGATTACATTCTAAATGGACAGCAATGGGATATGCAGTGTAAACGCATACGGGTGTACAGAAAACAAAAACTGGAGCAAATACTGAAAGAGTAAAGCAGATTTTTTCTTTCTTCAAAAGGATACTTTCCCTTAATACTGCCTGTATACTGCCTTCCACTCTAAATGCAAGCAAGCAACGGCTATATTACCATACCAATTTCCCTAAGGAGAAAATTGATGCAAGTAACTTCCCTACAAACACAGCAGGAAGGAATTGACCCTGGGGCATCCAGTAAAGAAAGCCAGTAACAATTGCAAACTGAATGGATATGAGCACCCTTCTTCACAATTTAAAGCTCTATTGAATAAAGCATTTCAGACTTAAACAAATTTCTTACAAGGCAATGCACAATGCAAACATTTTTCTGGTCTTGTTTCAGCCATAAATGCATGTTCTTGCATATGCTATAGAGATTCTGAAGATTTGGTGCTCGTCTTGCTGGCCAGCCACATTCAGAAACCTGCAATGAGAGAGACAAGAGACAGACATGAGAAACAGGATAATATAGTCACGTATCCACAGCTTAGGTTATGCAAATGTCTACAGGGCAATTTTACATTTGAATGCCATCTTCATGTTGAAATTAAGAAATACACTCAAGAAAAGCAGTGCTACACAGTGTAAATACCATTTTTTAGGATGAAGTGCAATAAAACATCAGTTCTGTCTACAAATCTGCAGCACAAGAAGTATCAAGTACTCAGATTACTACCTGAATTATTCTTAGAACAAGAAGTAAAATAAAACGGCTTCCAACTTAATTTGTGCACATATACTTAAGCAAAAAAAAAAAAAAACAAAAAAAAAACCCACCAAAAAACCCCAACAACAGAAAGATAAGGCTTCTTTGAATATTTGTTCTTTGTTCAAAAAGCTTGAATGGTTCAGTAATAGTCCATTTACAATTTCTGTTTCAAAACACTAACAAAAAAATCAGCTTCACTGCTAAGAATCCATATCCTTAGAATCAACAGTCCATTTGTAGGATGTAGGATATGAAACTTGATTCTTGGGTCACTTGAAACATCTAAAGAATAGATATATAAAGGATTGAGGAAGCAAGTTACAAATTAAGATTTTGTTTGTATTTGAAGCTTTTTTTGTATTTGTTTTTAGTCTCAACTGCAATTGCCAGATATTGAAGACCAAGTATTCCTATCAGCAACATGTCTTCCTATCTAGATAAAGAGTTCAAGGATTACTCTGAGATAAATTACCTGAACTGATCATCACAAAAAACTGTGTTTGTGCCAAGCACAGGAAAAAAGACTGAAATAAACAGTCTAAGTCTACTACAACTTTTCATTGTACTCTAAAATTTTCATTTAAAAATAAGGCCATTTCAGAAAGCATCACTTTGCAATAGATTTAAATTGCACATTTCTTTGTTAGTGCAAGCTTATGTAAAGGCACCAGGAAACAAAGAAAAGCTAGGTCAAAAAAATATTTTATATCCCTGTTTACCAAAGGATTCAATGTGGGCTTCAGTACATCTCAAATATTACAACAGCAGTGTGTGCTGGTTTCAGCTGGAGTAATTTTCTCTGTAGTAATTAAATGAGGCTCTGTTTTGTATTTGTGAGGGAACCAGTGTCGATAACACATTGGCTTTTTTATTGGTAAGCACAGCTTAGACAGAGTTAAAGTCTTTTCTGGCTCTCACATCACCTCACCAGCAAGCAGGCTCGGAGTGCACAAGAAGCTGGGAGGGGACATAGCCAGGACAAGTGACCCCAGCTAACCAAAGGAATATTCCATAACAAAGGACATCATGCTCAACCCATAAATCTGTGGAAAAAAGAATGGAAGGGGAAACATTTAGATCAATGGCATTTGTCTTCCAAAGGAATCATAATGCATGATGGAGCCCTGCCTTCCTGTATACCGGCCCGCCCATGGGAAAAGGTGGATAAATTCCTTGTTTTGCTTTGCTTGTACCTGTGGTTTTTGCTTTACCTATTAAACTGCTTTTATTTCAACCCACGAGTTATCACAATCACCTTGTGATTCCCTCCCCATTTCTACCAGGGAGAAATAAGCAAGTGGCTTGGTTGCTGGCTGAAGTTAAATGACAGTACTACAGAAGAATCATACTGAAGCATTGCAGCTTCAGACCAGAACACAGCCTAAAAAAAGTGTATTCAAAAAAGCAAAAAGTACTGACTTTTTTCCTTTAATTTACCATTCACTTCCCACTCAAACACTAGGTTTCCTACAAGACGGAACAAAAGCAACATTACTTTCTGTTTCTTTAGCTGTTTTTTAAGCTCTAAGTATACTGACAATTAGCAGAATTATGGATAGCACCCAAATTCTCAGAACAACCTATTCCAAAAATGACTCAAAACTAGCAGAGAAGCTAGTTTCAAAACCTCCATTAAATTTAATCAAGATTAAAGAAATTTGTAGAAGATCCATACAGATAGCAAGCAGCAAGAAACTAATAATATGTAATTTCATAAGCACCTTCTAAGCAAAGTGTCAGAATTAAGAATTTTAGAAGCTGCTCTCCTCTGATCATGTTTAAAGGCTTAGCATAATCATCTTTTGCCAGCATTAAAGTAAACCTAAGCTTCTTTAGGTTCCTACATGGCTGCTCTCATCCAGCACTGAAGAATGAATTAGTCAGTATTGCTAAACATCTGAATTTCAAGATTAGGCAGGTGAGAGTTCCAAATACAATTAGAGTTTGTTTCCAGTAAAATAACTGCCTTCCTAAATATTCCTAGACAATACAGTGGTCATGAACCTGTAATGTTTCAACTAATTATGACCTACAATGACTTCTGAACAAAACCAAGATTATATTATCATTCTTACTACCAACACATCAGAAATACCAGGTATATAGACACCTCAGACTTGTATAACAAAAAAAAAAATCCATTGGTAAGCAAATTCCCAGTCACAGAACTTATTCTTCTATAAACGGATCACTTTGCAGGACGTGGAATAAATCAGTTCACCACATCAGTCTCAGACTTTCCAGCAATCTAGTGCTAAAAAGAATTGCTGAACATTTTGCTTTGAGGTACCTGCTACAAATAATCACACAGTAGATTTCCTGCGTAATCAAGTTTTTTGCCTTCCATCTTGAATAACCTCTGCCTGGACCTCATATCGAACCAGATACACATAAAGAAGCTGATTGCATTTAACCAAAGAGGCAGCAGTGCTTTCTTCCAGGTGTGACAATACTTCATCTTGTTTAAAAGGAAACTAAAGGAAGTGATAGCACTAGAAAGAATACATTAAATATACCTCACCCCAACATTTCAAGTCAACTCTGATAACTGAAATAATGCTAAGGATGGCTCTGTATAATAAGGCCAAGGCTTTATCATTCTGTAACTAATAATGGTTCTAGACTCTTGGCACAAAGTATTGCGTGGAAGGGGCATGATCACTACAGACTGTTAAGGTGCTGGACACCTCACAACACAGTAACAGTAGCAACTGTTGAGCCAGGACAAAAGCAAACACTGAAGTCCATATCTTGGCATCTAACAGGATGTTCTCAATACCTGGTTGCTGAATTAGGCAAATGCTTTCATATCAGTATCAGAGAAATTGCCAGGAAGGATAATGGAGGCTCAGCTAAGCCACAACCATACTGAAGATGGTGGGAACAATCAGTCAGCTATGGCTGTGTTATAGGGAGTCAAATGGTGTGTAATGGGACAAGGAGAAACTCCAGTGAACAGGTTATGCAAATCAGTCACCATGTCCTCGATACCGGAAAATGGTATAATATAGGAGAGATTGACATTTTAGTAAGACTTTCATTACTTTAAGTATTCTCCACTTAAATTTGAAACACATAAGGTAAATTAGCATGTTTTCAAAGATATTACTATCCTAGAAAAAAAACAATTTTAGTCTGTTTAGTAAGACTTTTTAAGATTAAAGTTTAGTCTGCTACCCGTCAAGTTTGGTTTTAAAGCAAAAACAAGGAAAATATAGGTACCTCTTTGACCTTGTGTTTACACTTACTCTTTTTGATTAACCTGCTTTAACCTATTCTACAATAAAAAGCTGAAGGTATAATGAAAACTTATTATACATTATGTAGTATATAGTATATAAATATTGTATATTATATATATTATATATTATATATAATTAAAACTTATTATATATTATATATAATGAAAAATTATGTTTCAAGGCCTTTCAGAGCAATACACAAAAACTATACACACCCTGTTATGGAATCTTGAAGGTCTATATGTTCTTGGAGAGAGATTGTACACAGCATAATGGCCAGGATGTTTAGAGTCCAGACACAACCGCACATCTTCTATGTTATTTTTGATGGCAGATTCCACACCTTCAGCTGGAAAGGACATCACTGAAGACAGAACAAACAACAAGTGAATTTTTTCATGTATTAAGAGCAAGCAGAAATTATGTTTAACAAATATATAGATATCATACCAGCAATTCTGGAAGTGATGTATGATATATCCAAGTCTCCTTTTGCATAACTGAAAGAGAACATATTGGTTTTAATACTGGGACACATAACCATTCAAGCCATAAGTCTAAAAGCCAGATCTCTCAGGTGGCACCCACCACCATGAATAGTGTTTAATTTCTTCCATCTGAGGCTTGTTACATTCACATTTCCAGAGTTTCAAAACAGAGCTTTCAGAACAGATATCATGTTTAAGCAGTTACGCATTTAAATTAGTGGCACCAAAATAATCTGTGGGATTTTATACAAATACCTTTAATCTTTAACTCACCCCTCTAGCCCCTGCTCTTACTGATAAAACACACTGAAGGGTGTCAGTTTGAAAGCCTAATGATGATACATTAATATCTTTAATGAACAGAACATCAAAGTTTAAATTACATAACTATGTAATTTAGCATGTTACTATCTATCATAGATGGCCATGCTGCCCAATATCCAAATTCCATATGCACAGAGTTAAGAACACTTCCCTGTCTAGCCATTCAGGAAGGACTCTGGCAGCATACTTGAACCACCACCAGACCTGTCACTGCCAGGACTGAAGACCCCTTGAGCCCCTACACATCCTGCACTCACACAGTCAGAGCTGGTTTCCTTACCAGTTGGACTCCAGGCTTCCCATAGCAGAGTCCCAGAACTGAGTTCGGTTTTAGTTATTTAATCCTCCTGCAGCAACCGAGTAACAGCTGGAGCTGCTGCCTCCCAGGAGGGACTCCCAAGAAAGGAAACAGAGAGCTTTTATGCTCTCACAGTTTATGGGTGCCAAGGTCTGGGGTCTTCCTGCTGAGTGCCTCAGTGTCCTGGCTGGTCACAGGTCCTGTGCCCTTTGCTGTGCTAAACATTGGCAATTCCAGACCTCTTGTCTCAGGCTCACAGCCAGAGCTCAACCTGCAGCTCCCACTGCAGCTGCAACCCCAGCTACCTGCACTCAACACAGAGAGTACCTCAATCTCTTCCCTCGTTTAAATAATTACAAAAATTCATTCCCGGAACTCCCATAAGTGAGCAAGGCATTAGTCATTACTCATCTCTCTCTTATACAACTGTGCACAGTTTAAAAGTGCAGCCTTTTCAGAAAATCTCCCAGTGATCCTTAGGTCAATTGCCTGCACCTTAACCTAATCATCCCCATTATGTCACCAATTAACTAATTTGAGACCACTAATACTTTTTTGTTTCTATGGTATCTGCTATGTAGCAGAATGAAAAAGCAAGAGAATAAAACTGAAGAGAACCAGTGCAGGCCAACGGGCTTGAGTATAACTACACTGGTCTGCACTCCTGGATTGCCAAAATAAAAACAAAACTCACCAACAGATTTTGATTTAGACTAATGGGTGAATTCGAGTTACACTAAATTAAATATCTCAGTAGCCTATTAACTCCAGAATATCAAAATGTCCTTACAACAATATGATGCATATTTCATTAATTCAGAGGCAAAACTCTAGATCACAACTAACAAAACTTCTATATCACAATAAAATTTCAAGACACTGCTTAGAAAGGCAGACCTAGGATACTACACTCAAATTTTGAAACACCAAGAAAGAACGCTAAGTTTTGATTCTTTACTGTTTGCTAGTAATGATGGAGGTTAGCATGACTGATCAAAAATATACATTATATATGTATAATAGAAGAAAAGCATGCAAACATAGACCTACATGGAGTGTTTTCAGTCTGTGGCGCAACATGGGAAACTCTGTGTGTTTTTAAGGTTCTAATTAAGCTCAAAAAAAAAAAAAAAGGTATGATATGACACCAACATTTAATTCTCTGATGATACCAGACTTTTTCGAAAAAGGGACTACTTCACTGTGGGACAGGACTAGACTAGTCTAGTCTCTGTATGGAGACAGGGGATTATTTCCTTACAATATCTAATGGGGGCCTACAAGAAAGCTGGAAAGGGACTTCTAGCAAGGGCATGTAATGACAGGATATGAAGAAATGGCTTTAAACTGAAAGAGAGCAGATGGATATTAGCCTGGTCTAGTTGAAGGTGTCCCTACCCACAGCTCAGGGGTTAGAATTAGATGCTGCTTCCAATCAAAACTACTGCTTGATTCTATGAAATGAAGCAAGTAAGACAGGAATTCTGATTTTGCAGAATAAATATCAAAGCAAAAGTAAGAAGTTCTAACTACATGTTAAAAACTTCTCACTGTGTAAATTGTTGGCATTATCATTCTTGCCAGAGACTAGATGCACCTAAAGACCACAAGTAATATTAAACAACAGACAATTCCAGCAAATTAAAAACAATGGAACTAAAATTAGCAACTAAACTCACAAAATAAACTAGATAACATACATTACAAAATTCTACAACACTATCATCTGTTTACTAACAACTGAAGATGATAAAGAACAAAGAATAACAGACTAACCAGCACAGCTACAATGTGAGCTTTTAAACCATTAATTTAAATACTGCCCTAACACTAAGCAATCTTCCTCCAGACATCTCTACACTTACAAGATTAGAAAAAAAATCTATCCATCTTTTTTTCAGTTTATTTTTTAAAATCCAGGAAGAAAAACAGCACTAAAATTTACATCAATCTGTTCCCACTTGATTTTGTTTCATGAAACTGAATTAATCATGCAACTACCTGGTGCAATGAAAAGATCCATTAAATAAAATACTAAACAAGAAATAAAATTACCTTAAAATCCAAGAAAGCAAGCATAAAAGGTACGTAATTGTTCCTAGATTACTACATTATAATTTTTTCATCAAAAGAGATTGTTCTGACAAAGCAAAGGAAGACTGATCACAAGTTTTACCTGCTGCTTTGATCCTATCCTTAAAACATTTAGCTATGTTTTTTTGGCAGGGCATTTGTAACCTGTATGGAGGCAGGCCTCAATAAGCATAAAAACTGGCGCCCAAAAAAAGGGCACAGAAGCTCAACAAGCAAGAAAAAAAAAATTCTCTGAGCTTAACAGAGAAATGCTGTGGCTGCACAGCTGCAGGCTGAGCTTTCAGGCACATATGGGCACATCTGCTGGATCGAGGCTCCTGTCTGTGCAGATGGTGCCACTTCACAAAGCAATGCATATCTTCTCCATCTCCACACTGATCCTTGCTTTTAAGGCAGTTCGTAACAAGGGGGCTGAACCTCTGTTGCACTTTGTTCTCTCCATGTTACTAACAGCTGCTGTATCTGCCTGACCAGAACCTGCATCAGAAGTTATGACATCTGCAATTGAGCTAGTCTGGGGGACAATGAAGATGGTCCTCATTTACTCTCCTACTCTGAGCAGACTGTAATGTGTGTTTCAGTTTTCAGATCTTATAATTTATTAGGAATAATAAGAGACCAAATTCAGAATCAAGCTAAAGGCAGCTACAGAAGAGAAAAAATTAAGTTCTTTTTATCACAACAACAAAATACTTAAATCACACACTGTAGTTTGGATTTGTCAAGATAGAAGTCTGTCTGCAGACAAAGGAACTAACCCTGTAATTCAAAAAAGCAATGATAAGTAGGAAAGAGAGAGCCTACCTTATGAAATTATAGACTCCATAAGTGCTTAAGTGGGGTGAGGAAAATGCATGACAAAGAAAAGACATTTTAATTTTTCCGGAATGTCTGCTTCTTATGTTGGTTGAAGAGTTTTGGAAAGGCAGTCAAAGATGTAACAGCAGAATAGGTATTCTCACATTGCCAATTGTATCAGCTATATCCACAACACAAATTTGTGAAGGCAGAGAATGAATATGACAGAAACAGACATGCCCTATAGCAGATGCAAACAAAGAATTAACAATTCAGCTTGATTAAGACACAGATTAAGAACGCACAAGCCCAGTGGTGGAACTCTCAGCAGAATAGTGAATGTTAAATACTAGCAATGTTAAAATCCTAAAGGACATAAGCCTACCTTAGGCCCTCCAGAGCAATAACTATTAGTCATGTTAATTCATGTTTTGCCATTTCACTGTTAAATACAGTAAGGATTCAAAATATAAGGCAATACAAAGAAGGAAAACTACACAACTCATGGCTGCTAAATAATATTGGTAAATTACAAGTGGAGAGAGTTTATCTTTCAGTCACTGGAAAATGAAGTATTAAAGTAACTGATTCTCACTAGCAGAATTAAATGCTTGGAGCACTTCCTCCTTTTTTCCACACTCCTCTGTCCAATGATTAAATCCACTCAGATGATACAAGAAAAGAAAAACTCATTTGTATAGAGACAGAGGGTGCTCCACAAAATCAAGATTTGCTTATGATAGTGCAGAACTTAAACACAAGTTTGATAGCTTAACATATTATGTCAAAGGTGATGGTCAAGAGTCACATAAACAAAATCTTTATTCATCCAACTGAGTCCAAAACATCTGAGAAGGATTGATCTCCTCATGGTCAATCTTGGGACATAGCATACACTGTCTGACAAGCCTCTGTCAATTCACCACAGTCTATACAAATGTGTATGCCTCAGTAGCTTTAAAAGGTCTCTAGCTAATTGATTCTTATTTGGATATGACAGCATACCCTCCCATTAAAAGCTACAAACTAGTATGAGGTCAAACAATTACATTTTCAAGATACTCACTTCTAGTAAACATCCATATGTGACTTACTGTAATTCAAACAAATGATGTAAAAGTAGTAAGTTCTCCTTTGACTAATATTTAGTAAGTTCAACAAGCCATGCACTAAGCTGTTGTGTTCAGCCACAGAACACTAACTAGAGACTAAGAAAAGGCATACTAATTCTCAACAATAAGACAAACTGTTTAGATTATGGTGGCTGCCCAAAATAAGCCTTTGCTTAGATGAGAACTGAACAGAATCTGTTCAGACAGCCAGTACTCACTGTCCAGTACTTCAGAAGTTGCTAGATGAGCTCTGCAGATGTGGCTGAATGTACAGTTACTGTCTTATTCCTTGCCCACTACACTTACTAGGAAAGCAAAGGAAACCACACAAAGCAAAAAGTTACACACACTGTAAGGTAAGAGAAATAAAACTAAGGTGTAACCACAACACAAGCCATTCCATATTAAAAATTTAATTTTAGATAGTCCTAACCCAATGCTAGAAAAGGGAAAAACTGCACAAGATGAAATTCAAAAAAAGTGATTAAACTTCCAGTAGCCTTTAATGAAGAAACCACTTGCAAGAGCAGGAAGAGAAAACTGCTTCAAACATAACTAAGTGATGAAGGTGCACCCAGAAAGCCATGTGGAGTCAAGAGAATAATAAAATGAAGTGTAGGAGTACTTCAGATGCATGTAGCGCACAACAAAAACACAGTAAGATCTAATAGACAGCCATGGGAAAGTAGGGCTTATAACTTAGTCAGAAATGCTTTTCATCACTCAACAGTTTGCTCCCCTTGTACATATCCCTGCCCTGTGTCCATGTGCTTTTCACAGGAAGAAAAGTTAAATGCCACTGCCCAGTTACATCTATAGAAAGCTTAAGGACAAACCAAAGCAGTGCAGCTTTTGCAACTTTTAAAAAATACGACGACCTGGCCTTTCTAAGCCATATTTAGAAGTTTTAACATACTAAGTGTAAGAGCCAACAGCTAAAAACACACTTGAAGTAGATATAGAATTGCAGTATCTACAAATCTTACTTACCTGATCATTATAAATACTTTAAAAGCAGTACTATGCACAAGTAACACCCAAATTCTGAAAAAAACCTACATATGAGAAATATATTTTATTATGAGCTAAAAATGTATAAATTGTACAGACTAATTAATATTGATCATAAGGAAGTATTAGAAATATTTGAAATGGGACTGATAACCTGATTAGAAAAGAGAATAATCACACAATATGAATCTGAAAACATACACATCTAAACTTGAGAGTATTCGTACATGCAATACAGGGCACAGGAGACAAAGAGTGCCTCTCACACTGTCTAGAAGGCATAGGATTCCACCTGGAAACTAAACTGAAGAGCTTATTTCCCTGCAGGTATTTTCCCCTCCTCACATCCATTCCCTTGATTTGTACATTTCACCACTTCATCTTTTTAATTCCTCTTATATTCATGAAGGCCTTAAATAATAATTCAATTCTCCATGTTGCTCAGCCCCACCTCCTCATGTCTCAAAAGTTTTCAGTATTTGAAGCACAGCAGGGTAAGTAGTACCTACAGACAGGCTCTAACTGCAACATTCTCAATTCTGGTACATGACTGTTGAAATGACTTTTGTATAAATATCATACATAAAATCTCAGGGGTAGCTATCAGCTATTACAGCTCAAACTTGGACAAATATGCTGAATTTACCATTTCTGGAGTAAACTCCTGTGCCTTCATTTAGAACTCTTATCAGCACAATTTTTTATTTTTTGGGGTTTTTTTACTCACTTGGCCACAGACTGGATAACTTTAGAAGATGTATCCTTAATATTAGTGAAAAATCGCTCTGTTCCACCCCTCAGAATATCAAAGAACCCTCCATAAGTCTGGTCGCATTCCGCAACGGTCAGGCCTAGAGTAGTTGAATAAAAATAATTGTACTTTATTATGGAGCCCATTCCAGGATATGACTTAAAGTATGTTGCCTATAAAGCTGGAATACAGTGAATGCACACCCAGGCTATACCTTGCTGTAAGGTTCACAGTTCCAAATTTCTCCTTATATGACCTCCACAAAAAAATAGTACTTCCAGCAGTCAGGAAGTACCAGTAATATACCTAACACATTGTTTAATTTGCTGTCTGTATTTATGAGAAAACAAGATAGAAAATTCTGGAAGTAAGGCATATGTTTCATAGTGTCAATGCAAACATTGCCTTTCTTTAGTACCAGTTTCTAAAGTGCAGCTTACCATAACCAGATCTACTAAATCATATCCAGTAGACACATTTTAATGTAGGGCTTCAGAAGCAGCTGGCATAATTAAGCTCAAGTTTTAAGCACAACATCCCAGATAGCACATCACAGCACAATATACCTATTAATATCATTGTATACAACAAATAGTAGGCATTCTTGCACAAAACAGATGACCAGACAGACTTTTGATTATAATTGCATTAGGATGCTGTATTCTTCCACAGAAATTGATATACACATATTAGTGCAATAAATGTTACCCAATTTTAACATTTCCCCATGAAAATTAATATCCCTTGTCTCATTGAAAGTTCATCATAATTAATATCAAGCAAGAAATATCAAGCTGGAAGGAAAACTGAATACAATATGAAATAGTCCCTTGATATCTTCTACACTAATTGAAGTGCTCCATATTCAGATATAATAGTTAATATGGGTGCAGAAAGAATAGTAAAAAACTAGATGTAAATAAGCCTATCAAGCTTATTTTCTTTACTATATTAAGTATTTTTAACTGAATGTACTCTGGATTATCTCTTTCTACAGACTAAGTACGTCAGCTTTTAATTGTGTCATTTTGGAGACATGTTTTAGTTGATTCCATTTAGTTCTGATAATCCAACAACTGTTTTTCTCAAGTGGAACTCCAGCTCCTCCTCCTCACCACTGACACCATACAGTGCAAGCCTCTCCTGAAGTCCAGACCGGACAATGCTCCTATAACTAGCTGGATTCAAGGCAGTACCAGCTACAGCTGTTCCTGAAAGTGCTGACTGGATAGCCACAAGACCAAATTTAGACTGCTGCCTTTTCCCTTTGGGGCTGTCGAATATGGATCTTTTGGGAATGAAAGTCTAGCTTTAGACTACTATCACTGTCAGATGCACTTGCAAAGTATCATGGGGAGATCCAAAGTCTTTTTGGGCAGGAGAAAAAATGAGGGAGAGGTGGACCCAGGTGCTTACAGAAGTATTTCTTCCTCATACAGACTTTTTGCAGTATAAAATAAACACATATAAGGTCAGTAATTTCCAGGCATTACTGAACTACTATGGTCCATAGCCACAATCCCTACAATTTCTTCTGCATTTATTAAGTACTCTGTATTTAGTCAGACATGAAGCCCATTTTAACACAAAGTGGTAACACACCACAAATAGCCGCTATCTTTTTATGTTGTAACACATCTGTTGTTAAATAGTTCCTCTTGAAAAGCGAAGGCAACTCTTGCTTTTTTTACCTTGCAAAAATTGAACACAAACTCGGGCTATGTCCTGATTTCAGTACCTTCTGCCACAAGGTAACAACCTTTCAATTAAACTGCAGAACCTGAGGATTTTTAACAGTTTAAATGCAAAGTACTATTCAATGCTGCCCTTTAGACAATGCACTTTTAAATATTATTGCCTCATTGAATAAAAATAATTCAGGGTTTAAAATACACTATTTCCACCTGTTTGTCATAACCTGAAGACTCTTCCTCTACAGCTTTTATTTGTTAGACCATTATTGCTTCTTAAAACCACACCACTTTTTAGTTCACTTACGTCAACACTCCTGCCTCTACTGGTCAATAGTGCACTTTAAATTATTTTCCATAGGAAACATAACATTTATCTTGCACAGCAATGAACCTGAGAAATTCATATTTGCATATCAACAAAAAATCAAACCTTGCAAAAAAAACCCCAAAAAATAAACAACAAACAAGGCTAGAAGCAATGGTATGAATAACAAAGAGCTGGTAGTAGTGCAAAATATCTAAAATCCCCAAATTACTTTTTTCCCCCCATGGAAGATATGCTACTGTCTTTATACTATAATGACATCTGTTTTTGAACATACCTGCATTGTACAAATTGTTGAGCTGCCCTGCAGGCTTGGAGCTCTGTGAAACAGATGTCACAGATGTCCGAGGCTGAGCATTGTTTCCATAGCCTCCATTTTGCTCCAGGAGCTGAGGAGAATAATACTCCAAATGAGAATTTCCTTGCTAATTTAGCCACCTTGCTATGCTTGGCAAATTACTGCTCTTTGGTGAGAACAATCAAACGAAACCTCAGGACAAAGCCAGAAAGTTAAGATACACTAATTTACTCACCTGAAGTATAGTGCGTATTAAGCATTGAACAGGAGATGCCCAAGTGGGTTTCAAGTTAGTGTAAGCAGAGCCTTCATATACAAAATTTTTCTGAGCAAGTTAATTATGATAGAACACAGCACGTCAAACAGAGTGCTAGCATACTAAAGAATAAAGCAAGAGGATGAAAAGGTTTTCAAAAAGCAGTAAGAAATACTAAATTTTTTTTAAGGTCTCTGTGCTTTAATGGGCATACCTTCAAAGATCCTTTAAGTGATACTGATCAATTCAACTGAACTTTAAAATAAAACAGTGCAAAATTTTCAAAATACAAAGGAACAGGGGACCTGTTCTGAAATCTTTTCCTAAATGCACATATACTGCAGAGGACAGAAAGGAGGCCTAATAAATTATACTTCTTATGAGACATTTTTACCTCTGTGATAGGGGATTTAGGATTGACATTCCTTGCTGCTGCAATCTCCTGCAGTTGGTTCACAAGTTCAGTGATTGACAGTCTCTCCTCTGGGTTCACTTTCAAAGTGGAGCCTAAAAAAAGAAGATCCAGACAATGTAACAAACCCTTCAAAGCTTTTCTCCCAACTGATAATAATTTTTTTAATACATTCCAGGGCAATAAGTATCCAGGGCAATAAGTAAACACATGAACAGAGTGGAGAAACTACTAAATCAATATCCAAATATAAGTCTCATAATAGTATCCGTAAGAAAAAAACAACACTCCATAGGATCAATAATATTTCCAAGATTACACCTTGGGATCAGTTAATAAAGAACATCAGAGGTAACTTTGTGTTTAATACTACTGCAGTCTCATATATTTCTGGAACAGTAATTAACAGTTCCAGTAACCTATCTGAAACCTAAAGCAAACAATTTTTTAAGCAAGTTCAAAGAAACCAAATTAAAACAGCGGTTGTTCCAATGGACTAATTCAGATACTGTGCAAGACGCTTAAAAGAAACTAAAAAAGCAAGTTTCACATAAAATTTCATAATTTTTCTATAATGTATAATTTTTAATAATTTTCTATAATGTATTAAGATTATCAATAAAATAAGAAGTTGCTGAAGTTTATCACCTCCACATGTCAATAACATTTAACTATCAGTAAAACAATTGTTAATAAGAACATGTATCCACAAAGACACCAAATAAAACAACACTATAAACTTACGAATGAGATCATGAAACACAGAGTAGCGAGTGTCATTTTGTGGGATAACATATTTTCCATTGACTATGCGAAGTTTAGCTCCATCTTCAAATGGGTGTTGCCTAAAGCACAGCAAGTACAGGATACAGCCCAGAGCCTACAGAGGTAAACAGAAATACTGCATAGGATCATGGGGACTTCAGGCTGGAAAAGACCTTTATGATCCTCAAGTTCAAATGTTAACTCAGCACTGCCAAATCCACCACTAAACCGTGTCCCTCAATACCATATCTACACATCTTTTAAATGCCTCCATGGATGGTAACTCTACCACTGCCCTGGACAGTCTCTTCCAGTGCCTAATAACCCTTAGAGTGAAGAAATCTTTTCTATACTACCTAACATCCAACCTAAACATCCCCTTGCGCAACTTAAGGCCATTTCCTCTTGTCCTATCACTTGTCATTTGGAAAAACTATTCCTGTCTTTTTTTTCTTAAATCATTTATAAGTCATTACAAGAAATTTTCATTTTATGAATTTCAAAGCATATAGAAATGACTAGTCTTGCCAATCTGAACATGTTCAAAAGCAGGATTATTCTTTCAAAAAAAGTTCAGAAGTTTTGTTTTATGTCTCCATCCTGTGCTGCAAGGAGACACATTTTATTTGTCAAGACAGAATTTAGTCTAACTCAGATCCATTGTTACGCAATACAAAAGCTAGTTGATTATGTAAGCATTAAGCAAATTGCTTAAAATTGTAGGGAGACACACAACACTCTCTAAAAAGCATCTTCTGATAAAGGTTTGAGGAAAATAAGCCCAAAATGACACTCCCTTTATTCTCTACAGTCAGATGGCTATACAACCCTTGGGACAAATAAAATTTAAGACTATTTTCAGACAAGTTCATTCAAGCCTCAAAAATCACAGACTCTGGACTACTACATCCTGGGAACTTCCAAGTTCCTTCCTGTGTCCATTTTGAAATTTTTATAAAGTGAGAAGGCAACAACTAACAAAGACAGAATTTAGTTCTGAATTCTAATCTCTGAATAATCCAGGTGTTAAGAATTAGCTGGGATAACTGAATATGTTACTGAAGTAAATGTAAACTGATATATATTTTTTCAAATAAATTAAGATATGAAATATGCTGGCAGAGTTAGAATATTGGAACTGAAACATGTTCCATTTCACCTATAAAAGTTTGATAATAAAGCACCCAATGCCGCCACATAACTGTTGGCACAGTGAGTTGGAAAATTCCTCCTCTAAGGTTCTTATGAACCCCAGTATGTATAGTTATATAAGCATTTGGGCCTTTATAGCCCTCACAAATGAAGCAATCCATTGAAGATGGTACATAAGAAAACTGCTCACTGTCTCCAGACCTCTGTGTGCACCATCTCCAACTGCCCTTGGTTATCAATTTATCCCAAGAACAGCTTATAAGGTCTGAAAGTTATTGCAGTCCCTGAGGTGTAGGGATTTAGTTACTCCAAAATACTTTGTGAGTCTCTCAGTCCAGTACCAGAAATAGAGCATATATGCTAATTCTGTATATTCTTGCAAATTTTTGTCAGGCTGTGGAAAAAAACCACTCTGTAACCTGTATGTGGAAGCACCATACAGTCCACACTAACTAATACAGCAGGGCAGTACAGAAAATACTCGTCTACTCTTCCACTAAATGCTTGCTCATAAAGCAGATCATCATTTAGTCAGAAGAATGAAACTACTCCCTGTGCAGTCCAAGACACTCTGCACATCAGGAGAAAGCACCCACAGCCACACAGGAGAGAAAAGCACCAAGCTGAACACACAGGAAATTGAGAGGCCACTCAGATTTGATTTTTGCTTCAATTGCTGGAGAATGTTTTTAATTTCCTCTGTTTTACCTGTAACTTAGGATTGTAACTGTGATAAATTCTGGCTGTTTTAAACACCGTCATTCAATTTGGTTAGAAGGCAATTTCAGTTGCAGGGAGGCAACTCCTCAAACCTAACACCATCCACAAAACCTCAGCACTGCTGAGAAGAGCCCATTCTCAAGATGTTGTCCCAAAGCTGCACAGTCCTTCTACAGACGTTATCCAGATCCATCTGAGAACTCTCATGACAGAAGGTAAAAAAGCAGAACCACAAAGTAGGAGTAACTTTTTGACCTGCTATAGGGCCTTTACCAGCAACTAATTTAAAACCTCCTTAAGGTGACAGTGGAGTTTCTGGAGGGTTCAGAGAGCATTTCGGGACTGAGGAGATAAGGAAGGGGTGGGATTGAGTGGAACAAATAAAAATATTGTTCTTTTTCCCCTGACTAGCTTCAGGAAGCAAGCTGCATACTGTTCTACAGTACAGCTGCAGGATGCCACAGATATTAGACCCAAGTAAAATTAAGTCAAACTACATGAAACGTGAAGACATTGTTTAGCTCACATTGAATTAAAATCTGCAGGATGTCTTGCACAGACCATTACATTTTTTTCATTAGATATTGGTAAGGAGAACCCAGCTTTGAAATTTTGCTCCTTAAACATTTCCAAAGTCAACTCCTTTGCTTTTTCAGAAATCTTTGAGAATGAGAGGGTATGAAGGGCCTTTCAAACATGGAGAAAAAACACTTGATAAGGCCTGTCACTATTTGAATTTGAGTTCAGGAATTCACATTAATTTTGAAAACAAGTAACTAAAACATTTGGATTTAGTGTTTATTTTCTGATCTTTAGACTTAGGTAGGAAATGTACAGAAAGCAGTCAGCCAAGTTTAAAAAACTTTGGATTTTTAAGGACACCTAACCACATTCCCAGTGTGGAATCAATGTGGTTGATAATTAACCTTTAATCTATGCTGCTGTTCTAAGACTTACTTTAAGCTCACACAGACAAATACACAGACTCAAAAGTGTTAATGACTCTACCTTTTTCCTTTGAAATTTTTTTTTATCCTACAAACTACAATCATTTATGATTCCATACATAGGGCCATACTCCACTGCCAAATACTTTTATAGTTTTATTGAACCCAAAGAACAAAGAAAGAATACAGAATAATATGTTCCAACTCAGGTATGGTAAATGAAATACATCTTCCCAAAACATCATGTTAACACTAACATATACAGAGTTGTTTTAAACAAAAAATAAACTGCAACTGCCCTTTTGAGTGAGGTTTTTATTAAACACATTTCTAGTTTTGTTTTTGACTGGACGTTAACAAGGCAAATCTGGATGGGCAACAAGGTTTCGAAGGAACTTAGGAATAAAAAGAGGATGTATCATCTCTGGAAGGAGGGTCAGGTATCTCAGAAAGTATTTTAGGGGGTTGCTAGGGCACGTAGGATAAAAGTTAGGGAGGCCAAAGCTCAGTTTGAACTTAATTTGGCAACTTTTTTGAAGGACAATAAAAATGTTTTTATAAATATATTAATGGCAAAAGGAAGGTTATGACCAACTTTTGTTCTCTACTGGGTGTGGGAGGGAACTCAGCAACAGCAGGTGAGGAGAAGGCAGAGATGCTTAACGCCTTCTTTGCCTCAGTCTTCAGTGGGAAGCTTGTCCTCAGCACAAGTGTCCTCCTGGGTTGGCAGATGGTGTCAGAGAGCAGAATGGTCCCCTGTTATCCAGGAGGAAGCCATCAGAGAACTGCTGAGCTGCTGGATGTCCATAAATCCATGGGCCCAGATGGGATCTATCCCAGGGTGATGAAGGAGCTGGCAGATGAGCTTGCAAAGCCACTCTCCATCATTTACCAGCAGTCCTGGCTCACTGGGAGGTTCCAGATCACTGGAAGCTGGCCAGTGTGACAGCCATTCACAAAAACGGTAGGAAGGAGGATCCTGGTAATTACAGACCAGTCAGCCTGATCTCAGCATCCAGCAAGTAATGAAACAGTTTATACTGAGTATCATCGTGCAGCATCTACAGGATGGCCAGGGTGTCAGCCAGCAGGGGTTTAGGAGGGACAGGTCCCACCTGACCAACCTGATCTCCCTTTATGACCAAGTGACCGGCCTGGTGGATGCAGGAAAGGCTGTGGATGTTGTATATTTGGACTTCAGCAAGGCCTTTGACTCTTCCATAGCACACTCCTGGAAAAGCTGGCAGCTCATGGCTGGGACAGGAGCACTCAGTGCTAGGTTCAGAACTGGCTGCATGGCCAGCCCAGAGAGTGCTGGTGAGCAGTGCTGCATCCAGCTGGGGCCAGGCACCAGTGGTGTCCCTCAGGGCTCTGTGCTGGGCCAGCTCTGTTCAGTATTTTTACTGACTACATGGATGAGGGTGTTAAGTCTTTCATTGTAAATTTGCAGATGACAGTAAGCTGGGATCATGTGTCAATCTGTTGGGGAGGGTAGGACAGCTCTGCAGAGAGACCTGGAACAGTTGGGTGGATGGGCAGAGTCTAACAAGATGAAGTTTAACAAGTCCAAGTGCCAAGTCCTGCATTTTGGCCACAATAACCCCTGCATTGCTGTAGGCTGGGTACGCTGTGGCTGGACAGTGCCCAGGCAGAAAGGGACCTGGGGCAGTGGCTGCCAGCCGGCTGAGCATGAGCCAGCAGTGTGCCCTGGGGGCCAAGAAGGCCAATGGCTCCTGGCCTGGATCAGGAATGGTGTGGCCAGCAGGACCAAGGCAGTGATTCTTTCCCTATACTCAGCATAGGTGAGGCCACATCCTTGAGTGCTGTGTCCAGTTCTGTGCCCCTCAGTTTGGGAAGGATGTTGAGATGCTGGAGTGTGACCAGAGGGCAACAAGACTGGTGAGGGGCTTGGAATACAAAGCCTGTGGGGAATGGCTGAGGGAGCTGGGGTTATTTAGTCTGGAGAAAGGAGACTCAGAGGTAACCTTACAACTTCTCTACAACTTCCTTAAAGGTGGTTGTAGTCAGGTGGGGGGTCAGTCTCTTTCTCTAGGCAGCAACTGAGAGAGCCCGAGAACATAGTCTCAAGCTGCACCAAAAAAAATATATAGGTTAGATATCAGGAAAAGGTTTTTATGGAAAGAGTGATAAAGTGCTGAAATTGTCTGCCTGGGGAGGTGGTGGAGTCACCATCCCTGGATGTCTTTAAAAAAGGATTGGATGTAGCACTCGGTGACATGGTTTAGTTGAGGTGTTAGGGCATGGGCTGGTCTCAACCATCTTGAAGGTCTCTTCCAACCTCTGAAATCCTGGCTCAGACTTGACAGTATTTAATGCACATGAAGAGACCAAATAGTCAGAAAAAATGTGTTTTACTTGGTGTTTCTTCACATGCCACAAGGATGTCACCAACAGCTGTAGAAACGGAACAAGAGTTTCCACAATATCTTGCAACTAATTTAATAAACTGAATGAAGTTCTAAGATTCCATAAAAAATATTTTAAAGCACCAGCATTACATTTCCTCCATTTGGCTTGTGATACACTAATAATACAGGTAAGAACTGAAGAGCTTGACACCTGCCTCTGTAAAAAACATGCCATAAACTAAGTCACTAAGCGCTACACTACTGGTGAGTACCTCAGCATTATGTAGCTGGAAAAGGTACAGCTGAGGATTTAATATTTACCTTTGATTCTCGCTACAGATTTTTTAGTGAACATGAACATTCATCCTTTCTACACAAAGCATGATCTCTGCATTGTTCTCATTCATAGTATCTGTCAGTATTTTAGCTGCATTCCCTACTTGGACATAACCATTTTGAACTCAGCAATAGGCTGTCCCAGGATTACATATGCATGGCAGAGCATGAAAAGCAAGAACTTGAATCTAAGGACTCTTAAGTATTCTAGATTTATGGTGGCAGGCTCCAACTAGGCAACAGTTCTACCAAATGTTAGAGAAGTTCAGCATTGCCTCTCAAATAGAAGTCAAATTTGATCCAGGAAAAAAACCTTGCACAATACATCTTATTCTTTTAACATTTAGATACAGAATCCATACTACTTAAGTTTATTTTGGTCTAAGACAGCATCCTACATTTATTTTGGTGCTTTAATTATTTATCAACAAACTAACACAAAGCCTGCAAAACCAGTTTCACTATAACATAAGCAACTATGATGCAGCAAGAAAAGAGACTTCTTACCCAAATGTCCTGCTTTTCACCAATTGGGAAATTTGAATACAAGTCTATCATTTCTGGTGTCCTGTACATTGGTGTTGTATTCCTTGTGATCTGGAGAAGACAATTTGTTGAAACAGTCTTGAACAATGAGCTTTAACAGCATTAAACCAAGGAAACAGCTCTCCATGTAGAATGGATAGTACTCTCATTTTTTAAATTAATTTCAGAAACACTTGTCAAGGAAAAAGCTATCAACTGATCCTGCAATAGTCACAACAGCTTTGACATAAGGTCACATGAAGACAGTACGACTCAAATAACATTGTGATCGTCAAGAGTCCACAAAGCATGTAAAGTGACTGTTATACATGAAGCAAAAATAGACATGAATACTAATACCAAAAATCAGCAATAAGGCAATAAGCGAATTCACACTCCAGTGCATCTCTCTCCCTTTCTCAGCACACTTAATGACAATGCAGACACATCCAAAGAGAAACTCTGGTCACAAGAATACCTGGAATGATCTTTTCTACCATCTTTTTGCACAGACTATACAAGAGAGTGGTACAACATCATCATTTCATCAGTGCAATGGTTTCCAAGAATATCAGATAGCAAAACAGGGGCTTGTAGTGATGTCAGAAGTTGTACACATGGACTTAAGCGTATTTCTCCCACTGATGTACTAGACCAGATTTACTAGCACTACTCTCAATTCTAAGAACAAATTCACTTTGCAGAAGTACACTGCATGCTAGATTTGGCTACTGTAGTCCAAGGCACTGCAATACTGTTCATTCCTATTATGCTGAGCAGACCTGCCTCTCATTCAACTGAGGAAAAAGAGATCAGAAGATGGACATGACTGTGGCACAACCAATTTCTTGTCCAGAGCAATTAGAAGAAGCGCTAGCAACCACTTTTATTTTCACAGCTGACTGCAGAATGGACACTCACCATGCTGAAGTAGTGTTTCTACATGTAGCTACAGAACACAAACTATGAGTGTAACTGCAGACAGCTTTTGAACTCAAGCAAAACGAATACAGAATCAAAATTTTATAAATAACACTCTAACTGAAAGACTCTTCAGTTGTCTTAGATATCTCATAAATTAATACGATTAATAATAACAGTTAAATTAATCCACTGTTGATATTAGAATTAAATCACATTAAAATAGTCTCACCTCTTCTTCAACCACTGCTCTCTTCTGTGCAGACCAGTTGTAGTCAGGATAGTAAGCTATAGTTGTAGCACTACCGAAGTCACAAAGTTTAATTGTCCCCTGATTACTAATAAGCAAATTTTCCACCTTCAAAAAAATGTAAACAGATTTAAAGAACATGTCTTTTTTGCCCTAACACAAATGCTTTTATACATATCATCTTACTTGTGCATACAAATAAAAACTAATCACTTCAGCCAAAAATATTGTTTAGAGGAAAACAAAGATTTCAGATATTACTGTAGTTTTATATGGTAGCAACCTAGCCAAGTTTTGAAAGGAAGCACCAAGCACACCATGAACAGGAAACATTCCAGAGAGCAGAAACATTCCAGAGAGCAAGAAATAAACCTCAGGGGAAATAAAAAGTAATTTCATCAGAGCCTAAAAAAAGGCCAGTTTTTCACATGAGAACTTGTAGAAGCATCCAAATGTTTTCAGGCATAAAACTGAACACTGTTAGCTCAGCTGCAGTGGGATGAAGGTTAGGACTGCTATAGGCAAAAACCAGGAAGGTACTAGTAGAGAAGCAGGCTGCTAGGAGACACCCAAAAAGAAGCACCTGTGACCCTGTGCAGAGACAGAAACAGCTATTTCAGAACCACATGATGCCTGGATAGCTCATCCATTATCCCTGCCTTTTTCTACTTCATAAATTCCAACCATCCTGTATTGTTAATTGAAATGTGGAAGGAACTTAAGGAAAAAGTAAAAGTATTGGGCAGATGTACTTGGAGTCATAATCACAAAAGGATTGAAAAATAAAATTTGTACCTCTGGATAAAGTTAGGAAAAGGTGTAAAAGTCAATTGGCTCAAAACTGACTTACAGTTTTCTATGCTGCTGACTTTAGTTTAGACTGCTAAAAAGGGTAGCACAGTTAAATGGTCCCTATTTGGCTCCTGGCTGTAGTAAAGCCTCTGCTTCTTGCAGCACAACAATCATTTAATCTTGTTTTGCAGCCTCTGCAACATGAGACCTGCACAAAACCAAATTCCTGTCTTTTCCCATGTTTCAACTCTGTCAGGAAGGTATATTCCTTGAGAAGAAAAAACAGTTCTGAATTACAGCACTAGCTCAATGTCTATGCAGCTGGCTATGAAAGAAATTGTGTATTAATTTGTAAAGAGGTTTTTTTACTTTTTTTTTTTTTCAGAAGAGAGATGCACCTTTTCTACAAAAGCATATAGAAACTTCAGTGAAAATGCTCAACATGTCTTTGACACAACCTCACAACCTAAAAGCCTGTTCAATGGTACCAGGCAAAAAACCCAGGAAAGGAGCGCTCTGTCACCAAAGCTAGGTTTATATTTATGGGGTATAATAACAGCTAACATCAAAGCTTTCATAGAGAGTGTTGAAAATAACTAACACACTTACTTCTAGAAGAGTGGTCTTATTTTCTTTTCCCCAAAGTAATTTAGTACATGCTTACTTAAGGAGGAAAAAATTTTCCTATTTTTATATTAAATGAAATCACATCAGGCTGGATAGACATGTGTGAAATGTAGACACTATTCCAAGAATAAGAATCTCCTTTGTCTTATTTTTTTATGCTAAGGAAAATTCAAATATATTCAGAGTACAGCAGAATCTCACTGATAATGAGGGCTTCTTCATCTAAAGCATGTTGACTAGGTAAAGGTGAACCCCTGTCTTCAAAATACAAAATTCAAACCCAGATAAGTCGTTTCAAATCTCCAAAGGTCCTAAAGGTAGAACACTTTCTACAGGATAAGCCTATAGATTCCAGGTAAAGGCAAATTAAAAAACAAAACAAGCAACAAAAAACCCCTAAGAAACAAAATCTAACCTGAATTATGTCTCTCAAATTTTACAATTCAAATTAAAAAGAAGCACTGAAGTACAGTGCAAGTTACCAGCTCTAAAACTAACAGCTTACTACACGTTCTCAATGGCAATGTAATCTATCACAGATAATTCAACATTTTTCTCTTTCAAAGCTTTACCTCTTTTATTAAGACACCTACAAAACCCAGAACTGCACTTCACTAGTAACTGAGTATTTTATCAAAAACAAAATACTGAGGCTAACTCAATCAGCAAAACATGATGCACTACTTTTCTGCCAGCTTGTTTCATAGAGTACAAGCAGTTCTTAAACAGCAAGCACAAGGAGAAGTTGTTTGAAGAGATGAAAGTATTTCAGTGATGATCTTCACACTCAATAGTTATGGCAAGGCACTAGATCTAAGCACTTTGCTCAAGAATTGTTTTTAACACTGATCCAGCCCAACGAGCTCCTTTGCTCTTCAGAAGTTCAGCCTTTAAATATTGTAACATACCTTTAAGTCTCTATGAATAATAGGAGGCTTCTGCTTATGCATATGCTGCACTGCTCTGCATGTCTGATAAAAGATTTTCAAAACTGTGTCACAAGAGATAGGTCCTTTGGATTCTACTTTCTTTAAGAATTCCACAAGCTGTCCTGCAGGAAGTGAGAGAAATTTACATAAGCACACAGAAAACACTGCAAATTCTGGAAGCTTGACACAAATAGACCCTTCTCAAGAAAGGCTTACAATCTTGAGTTGTATTAAATACATTTTCTGAAAAGGACAAGTCCACACTGACTAAAATGACAAAAGAAAGGGCACTCTAAGGAACTACTCCTACTATTCCTTTCTCTGACTAGTCCCAAACAAAAACCTTAATGATTACCTCATATTTAAGACAAGGTTAAACTGTAGTCTAAAAAGCCATGATCTTTATCCTATAAAAGATAAGTTTGAACTCTAGATCCACTGAACCATGCTATCTTCTACAGTCATTCAAGCTTTTAAGTTAACAAGCAACCTGTGCAGAACAGCTGTCAGAAGAAGTGTGCTGGGAAAAGAAGTAAAGTTTACCTTTACACAGCTCCGTAAGCAGAAGAAACTCTCCCTGCCCCGTGTCTGATTCTTCTTTTCCTATAGATGCTGCAGAGCAAAACTGGACAATGTTGGGATGACCTGAAAGTTTTTTCTGGAGATAACAGGTTCAAGGAAGATGACTCCCAAGTTCATTGATACTATTGCATCCAGTAGTTCATTTGAAATGTTAGCTTAAAACCACAGAAAGCATAGTAGCTGCAATCAATAGCCTAAGCAAAATAGCGAAATACATGCCTCAGCTATAAGAAATCTGAGAAAGGAATCTAAGGTAGCGTAATAAAAAGTAAAAAAAAATTTTAAATCCTTATGATTACAGCTCAGAAGCAACTGGATTCAGTAACAGGGCTAGTTCTTTTTGTCTTTTTGTCTTTTGACAATGACTGCCTAGCAGAAGTAGCAGGGACATCTTCTAATTATCAGCTGCTTCTCTAGATGGCTGATCAAGAAAGGGCCATTGTATCCTCACCTATCTTTCCCAAAGAAGTATTAAGTATGCCATGCTTCAATTTTAAGGAATTAAAACAGAGTTCAAAACAATTAGAGACCTAAAAGGGCAAGGAATTTATCCTTCCATCATTAGTAATATTTTTTCCTGCTAAAACCTTTATCAGTTCAAAAACTTGAGGCATCATTTTTGAGCTATGTAAAGGGGAGTACAGTATAAGTGATCTCAGCTCCTGCCAGTGGAAGTTATGTTGCATTATGCCTGTCTGTGTATACACTGAGACTTGTGCCTGTGAGACAAACACAATCTATTTACAGGATGCATTCACCAAGTCTGAAAAGCGAAAAACAAAGACTTCGTAAGTAGAAAAAAGCTATTAAAAAGGGCAAGTTGGATCCATACAATTCACATTAATCTGATCTTACGCATCTCTCTACAACCCTCTATTCAGAGCTGCAGGAATTTATTGCATTTCACAGTCTTAGCTCAAAGTTAGCAACAATTAACCCTTCATCATGTGTACAACACATCATGATCTGCTTTAGTGGCTCCCAGCTGTGAAAAACATCAAAAGAGCATTGAATTCTTTACTCTTGGCAAGATAATGTCAGAGTAGACAGAAAATGTATAGTGCTATGGTATTCTGTCTTGGAAGAGTACTTCTCAAAAGTGGTGTTTAGGCTAAGATTTTGCCAGACATATCAGCAATCATAAAACAAAATGTTTGCGTTGCTTAAATTAGGATCAGTGGGTTTGCCTGCTAATTCAAAATTAAGCTGAACACTCAGAAGGGAACACATCAGTATACCACAGCTGAATAACTGACTCTTGAAACACACTGAGGGTCCAAGAGGAGCCAGGTTGTAGAATTGTGTTTGGGTTATGGAGAAAATATTGAATTTACTAAAATCAAGGATTTAAAATACACTTACATAACATTATACCCTACTACCTGACATCACTGAAAATAAAGAGGACATTGAGATAAAGGACCCTGAGAAACATATGCTTATTTTCAATGCATGTAGGCTACTGAAATTTCTTCCTTAATAACTAGCACTACTTCTTAAAGCCAGATGTATCCAAAGGAGAAATCAATAAATATTGAGAGTAAAAGCAAAGAGCAATAAATCCAAAGCACGTGAGGGAATTCTATTTAAGATCTAACTATCATGTGAAGTCAAAGGGTCTCGACAACATTCACAGGGCTGCAAGAATGCCCAAATAAGAATTTCACTTCTTGCCAGAAGTACATGGCATAGTCTACGCTAGCTACAAAAATTTGCACACACTGTATTTCTCCGATATTTGAAGAAGTGAACTTTCTGGATGTTGATTCATTATACCAGATTCATGACAAATCATGAACCCAGACCTGCAGAACGTCAGTCCTCTTAGGCATGAAGAAAAACAGAATCTGTACAGCAATCTTTTGTTACCCAGAAATCTCAGGCAGTTAAATATGGCACAGAAAAGGATACCATAAAACAAACTTCCTGGATGATGGCTTTGTTCTTTTCCTCTTCATTAGACAACAATCGCTGTCAAAAAACCAAAATAATTGAGAAGATACAGTTAGTGAAACTTACAGAATAATAATGTATAGATTTTGGCAGAATATGAAGGATAAACTAGAGTCAAAAACCCAAGGAACTGTAATGAGGCAGGAAACAAAGCCGGCTTATTCTATGTTTCAACATTCTATCATAAATAATACCCAGTTTTCCAGTTACCTGGACTATTCAGGTTTAGTGATAATTGAGCACCTGTAATTTTTGACACTCTTTAAAGTAACTGTTCAGATAGCTCTGATATATAAAACACTAAAGTCTCCTGGCTGCAGCACTGTGGCCTAACAAGGAAAGATTCACCTTCTGTCTGAAATTTTCAGCAACAACCTTCAACTCATTCTAGACTAAACTCCTCCAGATTATGTAGCCATGCTTTTTCAATGATATTTGTGTAATCAATAGCAAAATTAAGAATTACTATTTCTAGAATTAGAATTTCTGGATTTGCAGTCAACATTTGACTACAAACAGCCTGAGCATTCTCTTGCAAAAGTATTGGTTTTACAGAACAGAGGAAGTATAGTAATGGTTCACCTTTTACCTGTTATTTTTTATATGGGGCTACTTCTAGAGGACCTTTTGAACAGTTATAGTATGTGGCTTTGGTCACATATTTTGTTACTGGAGGATGTGGAATGAAATTGAAAAAGTCAAAGTTATTACTGATGGTGTAATGCCAACTTACCTCTCCCACCCCTCATACAAATACCCTGTTTACAGCTGATTACCAGAAGCCTCTAGAAACCAAGAATCCAGAAAAGTGTCTCTAAAAATACCAGGCCAAATATTTAAACAATGAGTCAAATTATTTTTAATACTATGGAAATTTACTCTTTAAGTAAGAAGGTAGGCTAAATCTGCTTCTGATGAGTGAAAAAGATTCTTGTGCTTCACTTCAGGTAACCATGAAATATTCTTTTTACTTGTGCAACAAAATGTTTTGGACTGGATCATGACTTTCTACACCAAATAAAAAAATAAAGACTAGCAACACCTAAAAGACCAATTCCCTGGTTTGTCACCGAAGTATGAAGTGTAGGGTTCTAACTGGAATAAACATTCTAAATAGTGGGCTACAAACACCACTAATACACTGCATTTTTCCAAGTTACTTGCTCAGTGGCATACATCAAGGAATAATTGTCATGCTAAAATATCAAGCTACAAGACAGATCTTACAAACCTATAGTGAAGTAAATTAATATTACCTTCAAAGCATAATCTTTGCCACTTCCAAGATCTTGAGCTTCATAGACAAAAGCAAAACCCCCTACAAGAAGAAGGCAAATTAAATTAGTTTTCATTTCAATATTCAGGTACATCATTCTTTTTAGTCTAACAGAATCAATACATGAATTTAGATACATTTCTAAATGTACCAAGCACACATTTTTCAGCATCTGGTCAAGACTGCTGATATTCAGCAAGAGTTCCTTTCTTGTACATATGCAAAGAGCACACTGACTTTGTTACTTTCCTGCATTTTGTTAAGTCTGCATATGCAGATTTCTTATGAAGCCGTTTTTTTAAAGATCCTTATAAAATCAAAATTCAGTACAGCAAATACAAACACCTAATAATTTCAATTAAAATTTTTGGTATTACATTGCTAACACTTTGTATAAAAACCAGCAATAACTAAGGAAGATAAGTGCTAAACATACACCTCCTGTTTTTAAGGTAAGTATATTGTCAGAAAGCATTTTCAAGCACTGAAGCACACATTACAATAAGGGTAATGTTATTACCAAACTGCAACATGTTATTTCATAAAATATTTCCCTTCCAACTCTTTTTATCAAACTATCTATTTTCTCAAACACTTCCTTTTGCTCAAGAGCACTGTGCAAACCTCATTGAGATAGCAGAAGTTGGAGAGTATGTAACTAGCTTAAAATATGCATTTCTACTTCAGTGATTGCACTTTATTATCAAGTGCTGAAATGCTAAACAGAATGGAGTTCCAGATCTTCAGAGAAAAGCCAATGGTATCATGCCTGGTTAATTCCTGCTTCATTGCACCTGCCTTATAGAGAATCCAACTGCTGTGGCCTACAAGCTCACCTTTTACAACTATGCTCCTCTCAAAACATCAGCTTCAAGTTTCGCATTCTTTCGTTTTCACTCTTTCACCTGAACGAAATTCAGCTCCATACAACTCAGCTCATTACATGTAGTGCTTGGTTTACTACTACTGCAGCACTACAGCAGAAACCAAATTTAATTCCATGGATTTTCTGGGATACCAAAGAAGTTAGAGCATGTTGTAAAGGTACTTTAACTTTTTTTGTTGTTGTTGTTGTTAGTGAAAACAGTTCTTAAATAAAAAGTAAAATTAGTCCTACTGCTTCATTTGTAAAAGCAGTTTCATTTACAGTTTGATGCTGGCTCCCTTGAAGAAGTAGTCTATTAAAGCAGTCTTAATATACCCTCCATAGGGACCAGTTTACTGGCAAAACTTCTCCTCTACCATAACAGTTTACTCCAAGCTCCCTGACAAATATATTTTGCAAACATTCAGAAAAAATAATTTAAAAAGCACTTTCAACAAACACCTGTACAGCAGACCTAACTGAGGTAAATGGTAAAATGGAAGTTAAGAGAAGAACAACTTCTAGGGGTGTCTAAAGAATATATTTACATTAGGGTGTTTTCACTCATTTTTTCATCTCATGTAAATGTTTGTAGATGGTTTTAAGACAGTTTCCTGAGGATATCTGTATCAGCAGAATCATCTTAGAATTCTCCCATACAGATCACCAGTGTAGAGATATGTGCACACCCACCCAGCTATTGCCCAGGGAGACAGGTTTTGCATTGCTGAGGCATTTCAGAGCCCCATCTCAGAAGAAAGCCCAAGCCCTCCAAGGTCATCTCAGATAGTATTTGCTAGCTCAGAAATTACAGCAGAAGAAAGCTGGGTTTATTTCTTTTCTGTAGACACAAGCTTTCACACATCAAGGCTCACTACAGAGCACCACACCATCTCATGAAAGTCAGGCACCAACTCTACCTCATTTGCTTTATTTATTAGCAAGCACTCTAAACTTATCCTTGCACCACCACAGGCCTCAGGCAGTGGTCCTTGAGTACTTCATCATTCTCTTACAGAGACTTGAAGACTCTTGCTTTTCCAACCAAGAGATTTGGGTTCTCCCTCTAGTCAAACCTAGGTGTCACATAATACTGAATAACTTCACTGTATTCACACATCAAGTTGGATTTTAAACTGCTCTTTTTTTATCATGTTCCTGTTTTACTTATCTTCACAAATCCTTTTTTTCAGATAACCAGCTTCAGTAAAATGACAGCTAGACACACATCAAAATAGGGACATGTAACAGTGCTTGTTACTGTTCACTCACTGTTTCATTACACACTTAACTAGACATGAGAAAGCAAGGGTGTGAGTAGCTTCCTGTTTGTAACTATTTGTCTACTCCCCTCCTAAATACTGACCAAATTTGTTTTCACATCAACTTTCAGTGGTTTACATTTCAACTTTATTGAAACACTGTAATTCTAGCCCAGAATGTAAGTTATAGTGTATTTTAATGGAAAGATTTTCTATCGGAGCATCAAAACAGAAAAGATGTTCTGTTACTGTTGCCAAGCATTGATTCAAAAGTTTTTGGGGGTTTTTTTTGTTGTTGTTTTTTTTAAGTCCAGTCATGTATTTGTGTCCACTGCAAGTCCTAGTAACATGATGAAACTGCCTCAAGAATGAAGGATGGCCCAAACTTAAAGATCTGTACATTTTCCCACACCCTTAGGAAGCAGAGGTAGAGTATCTTCAAACTTTGAGAGCTCCCCTGCAAGCAGGAATTGCTACAGCCAAGAAACAACAGCTTTAAAAAATGGAACTGTTCTGTGCCATGTTGAAAACATTGTCTACATTTCCAGCAAAGAAAATGGAAGCTGGACAGCTGCTAGGTCAGGTGCTTTAGTTGTTCCTTAGGAATCATCTTTTTTTTCCCCTATCTGCAAGCAAACAAAACTAACAATGTTCACAGAAACTTGGCATTAAGCATTCAGTGTGCTTCTGCTGGTAGAGGTTTACAAAATAAATCCACCGCAAAACATGGACTTAATTAGGTTATCTTTATCTTACTAATCCAGTAGTTGCAGAAACCATAGAATTGTTCCTATAAGCTTAACAACCTGTAATGCTGTCTGTTCACACTCAACATATTGAGGAAGCCCTGAAGTAAACAAGTCACCTACCTATGCAGCTTTGAGCTATGACATCTATTTTTAAACTAAAAAAAAAAAAGAAATTAAAGTCTGCACCCAGACTTTAAGGCTGTAGCCTATTGCTATATTTCTGACTAAGGAATTATTTTTTTCATTATGGTAAAAGCTTTAGACTCATATCAAACAGATTGAATAATGCATTCTTTTTCTCATCATGTTTCTCTTCTTGTGTGCTTTTTGGACACTGTTTGTTACTCAAACAAAGCATAAGATTTCACAACACGTGAAGAATAGTTGCTAAACGTGCTACAGAACTTGCTTGTTCCCCGTTTTTCACACAATCTGGTATATTCTAAATTGTTCAGTCTCATATAAAAAAGTATTCACCAATTAGGCAAGAAATCCGTGACTATTTTACTGAAGTAAAACTGTGTGTGTGTGGGGGGGGGGGGGGGTCCGTGCACTTAACAGGAAGATCCAAGAGAGCCATGACACCTGAATGTGAATTAATGACACCTTGCCAAGAGCAAGAAGGGATTATATGTAAAGGCCTCCACCAAGGTCCTCTAAAATCTTATCTGCAGTGAGCGACTGAAATGTCCAAGCAAGAAAAAAAATAAGTTACCATAGTCTGGAAGTGCTCAATCCAATCTGTGACACACTTGGTCTGTTCTTGCATTCAGAGGTAGTATCAGCAAAAGAGAACATCACCAGCTCATCCCCCACAGGTTGCTGTCAGCCTCCTGCAGCAGCACACTGTATTTTCAATCAGCCCAGTCCTACCCCAGCACAACACCTCTGTGAAACAACCAGGAAAACGCATCCAAGCGACCTGTGCAACACATCTCAGCCTAGAGCACACCCAAACATGGATTTGGTGCACACTACAGAGCTAGAATGAGCTGTGGGCTACAGGAACAACTGAACCTGTGCCACCACACAATACCGTGCAGCACTAAACCACAGGCACTGTTCACACCAGCTACAAAGCTGAGCGTACGAGCCTACAGAAAAGTCTGCGTTGGCAGATGACACACAGTTCACCACAGATTTGAAATCCAGATTCAGAAAGCAGCACTTGACTTTCCAGAAGGGAATCTGGCATGAAAGAACTGATCTAGAAGATAAACAGATCCCATATTTGTAACCATAGGAAGGAATACATGTAAGCCACAGTTGTGGATCAATGTATCAGAAGGTACCACAACATGTCCAGAGTTGAAAGATAAATGCAAATTGAGCAATAAAATAAACTATATGCTACAGACAAATTCAAGTCTGAAGATCACAGGAGAGGCTGGGATTTTTATATTTTACACCTATTTTAACTTTATACTCAGCATACTGCAAGGGCTCTTTTAGACTGGCTACATTGGCTAGAAAATTATATTTCCAGAAAAAGCAAGCAGTTAGCCCAACTTCAGCTAGCAAAATGAACATCAAAATAACATAAAACGATAACACTGCAACTAACATGGAACACAAAGCAGTGATTACAGAGAAATTGTAAAGAGCTGTAGAGTTAAAGTATGTCTCCATTTGCTTTAAGTCATCTAACCTGGCATCTTTCCCCTGACATTTTACAATGCCTGTGCCATATTCTGGGAAACAGTAGGCTGCTGTCAAAGTGAAGTGTTAAAATACCTGCTCCAGAGCCAAGAACCAAACAGTATATATGCCTCAAAAATACCTTCCTGCCCTAACTTTCCTTTGTCCTTCAGTAACTGCTGTGGTCACTGCCAGCAAGAATTTTACAGTATCAGCAGCACAGACAGTTCTTTTAGCATTCACATTCTACTCAGTGCTTACATTTCAGTCACAACTCTGGCTGTAAAGAAGCTGTAAGTAAAGGCTGAAAGCAGAACAGGAGGATATGACATCTAGTACTATTTAAAATGCAACTTACTACATAAGAAACTGACAGGTTTTCTCTAAGATCATATGCCAAAAGTGCTTGAGCATTCAAGGAACAAATTATTGCCCTTAAGAAGATACAGCAGTGGTGAAGACCTAGTTGTTGTTGTTTTACAGCTCAAAAATTTTATATGTAGCTTGCAAATGGTTTGAACTAGCTAATTTTAACCAAGATTTTCTTCTATGCTTATCACCAAGATTTCAACAGAAAACTACTTAGTATGAGATAATTAGAAGAAGAAACTCCAACATCCAAAAGGAGCTCTAAGCAGAGTTTTGAGGTATTCAACCTAAATAACATCAACCACTTCTACAAAGTTAATGAAATATTTAACTGCAATAGTATAGAAAAGTCTGCATTTTAGTCTTCTGAAAGTAGCCTTCAATGGTTCTTCTGCTAGAGGAAATAAAGTATTTTCTCTGATCACAAGCATTAAGATGATCCAAATTTTTTATAATATCTAAGTAATTAGCATCTATCAAACATATCATCTTTTCTAAAACAGATTAACAAGCAGTGTGCCAGGCTACCTACCCAAAGCTTCACCAAAACTGGAAATTGCCTGGATATTTAACACTCTGTACTCTAGCAAAGTCTATGTTCACAGTAAAACCAGCCTCCTGACACACGTGTTCAAAGCAAACACATTTCCTGCATTCC